TTCATTCAAAATGATGCCTAAAATTTAAGAATGTCCCCATTTGTTTTCAGAAATTTTGTTTGCATACTTTAAATTGGTTGAAATAAATAATGAACACAAGTCTGTATTTATAATTTTCTACTTGTAGTTTTCTAAAACTTTGAATTTTTCACTTGATTTGTTAACTATTATAAAAGATTCCCACACTCAGTTATATTTTTTGTTAAAATATGTTCATTATGATGATTTCATACAGGTCATGCAAGTCATATGATTTATCTAAATGCTTTACACCAATGCAGGTACTATGACAATCTCATAAATCTTCCTTCTCCTCAGCTTTGTGTATGCCTGGTTTTGTAATTTGCTGTGATTTTTCGCATAACACAATGATTAAAGGAGCATGTTCTTTACAACACTCTCTGATTTGACTACACTTTCAAAATGCAAAGATTCTCTTGCAAATAGAATAAGTTTACTGTTTGAGATGCATTAGTTTCTTCATTAAAAGGCAATGATTTTTATCCAGGTACAATGGCATGTTCTCCTAGTCCCAGGGGCTCACAAGACTGAGGCAGGAGGATCAGATGAGCCTGGAAATTAAGGCAACATAGCAAGATTGTCTACATAAATAAGTATATAAGTAAATAAATGAGAGATGATTACTCATTCAATAATGAAGACAGAAAGTCAAATGCTCACCCAAAATTAATTAATTGACCTAATTCCACCCTTGGTTTTGTAGCATATATTTTATAGCTCACAATTTTATATACATATAAAATTGAGATTTTCACTTTCATTTATATTTTCAATTATTCTTAGATGAAGGCAAAGTTTAAACTAATTGTAGTTACAACAGTTATTAATGATGATAACAAAGTTTTACTTATCTTTTTAAAAAATAGAATATACATAGGTACATAATATTATCTGTACTTTTTCTGTCCTTAGATTCTTTATGCGTCTGGAAAGATCTATATGATATTTTTTGTTGTGATATCTTTTTGGTTTGCCTTTTATATGGCAAGTTTGTTTTTAGGCATACTTTATATGGCCTATGAAGAAGAAAAACAGATAGCTTCTGAAAAAACTGATATTGAACCACAATTTCAACAGACAATAAAAGCTCTTCAAGAAGGAAATGAAGCCATTGAGGTACTATTTTTTTATGCTTCTTAAAATTATATTTCTAAGTGTTCTGTCTTAAGGTCTTGGAGTACTTTACCTTTCTTTCTTTCAGCTTATTGACACTATTCCTTTAGAAAAGGCAGATTTTAGGTAAGTTTCTAGATGCATGCCTGTTGTATAAGTTTATATTTTTTGGTACTCCTTGGTTCCCAAAAGACAGACTTCATTAGACATGTTTTAAATGTTTGTTAAAATAATCATGAGGATTACTTTATATTTTGCATAATAAGATAATATCTCAGGGTGGGCACTCATCACAATCTGCTAGTATAAATCCACTTGTCTCAACTTGCTTTCTCATATCAATGTGGTATAGGATTAGGTAAAAATTGTTCTAATTACAGAACTCGAATACAATGTAGGTAGAATCATAAATATGCTTAAATATTTAACATATATATTTTTCCAGAATTTACATTGCTGATATACTATGAAAGTATTCAGAATTGATTGGTCCTAATCAGTTATATTTTATTAACTCAAATTTACATCAGATAACTCATCAGAATTCATTATGGAATTTGGCTCTTGTTCAATCCTAAATGATGATTGCAATTTCATTCATTTAAAAGTCATGAAATACCAAAAGAATGGATTAAAGAACTATCATAGCAATATATTGCTATATATGTGAATAAATTTATGGAGTTTCTAATTCTTTCAACAGGATGTATCCTATGTATGACATGCAGGGAATTATGTTATCTATAGAATAATCAAATCTATGATTAGTCTAATCTTTTCTATAATTGAAGTCACCTTAATGTTATGGATGAATACTTTTACAGATTGCTAGCCTCACATGAGAAAGTTTGCTATGTGATCTGAAAGTAATTATAGAAGTAGAATAAGAAAGTTGAAGAAAATCATTTCTAAAAGTCTAATGTGTGCTTTAAAATGTGATCAAAGGAACTTTTCTCAACTTCCTTGAACTATTTTAGATGGAAAAATCACCTAGACTGGAATCTTTCTTTATGAAAAGAAAAGAGGCAGGTGGGAAAAGTGAAGGGGCCCACAAATACCCCTCACTAAAAAAAATGCCTAGGAACATTAGCTGAGAGGTTCATTAATAGCAAAGGTCCCTTCTTTAGTAAAAAGGGAAGGAAATATTAATGCCTCATAGAGCTATTTTATTAAATTATCATCAATGAAATACTTGAAAATCATTGCACCAAAAAGTGAAGCCTAAATGGTACAACATAGGATCTTAGCCATGACTTGGTACTTGTGCCCATAACATATGTATCACTGGCCAAGAAGTTAATTATGGACAATATGAAGAAAACATGTACAAAAAGAGACTATTGTCACTCAAGAGTGAGTCACAGAAAAAGAAATTACAAAAGTGGTCTGTATCCAGAAATGAGTCGGGTCCTTCAAATTGAATGATTATGTTCAAATGATATGTTGAATGTGTAATTTGTTCTCAAGTGGCATTTCAGAAGCTCAAGGGCTGTGGCTAAACATGAATGTCTCCCGAACTATAATAGTTCTCTTATTCCAAGATGAAATGCTTTTATTAGCTTTGACCTTGAAAGAATTTCTGTATTTCCCATTATCTCCTTTCGCGTTGCTATTTGTATCACATAAAGCTTTCTTGCTTTTTAATTAAACTCAGTTATAAACAATTTCTTTTCCTGGAAGAGCCCTAGAACATTGTGTCATGTGAGCATTTCTGGGAAATGAGAGTAAAAGGCATGTGTACAATGTTTAAACCTTTACACATGTATTTATAAAAGGAAAACATTGAGGATTTTTAAGTGATTGAAGTGATGACAGACCACTTAGATTATAATTTTAATAATAGAATTAAAGGGTGAGAAGAGCATAAATGCATCATATTCTCCTACCATGGGAAAGGTATAGCTCTATCTGCTTAAAACACATGTTACAGTCAGATAAATTTATGTTTCAGACTATTCTAACCTTGTGATATTTTTATGATACTTGCAAATATAATAACTTTACTACAGTTCAAATTTTTATTCTGAAAAATTGTAAAAATATAGTAGCTGTCATAGATTGTATCATGCCCAAATAAACCACATGTAAAACATCTTACAATAATTAGAATAAACTAAGCACTGGAAAACAATTATGAAATGCATTAATAAAGTGTCATATATGATCATTACATCTGATACTAAAGGTAGCTTTTACTCAAGCTATCACATAAACAAGTCTACACTAAGAACTCTCAATCTTTATAATCTTGAATAATCTCACATTGCTGATATTATTTCACAACTATAATATTAATTATGATGTGACATTTATTGTTTATTTATTATATTCCAGACTCAATGTCAAATGCTTTATGTACATTGTCACATTTTACCTGTCACATCCCGTTGAGATATAAAAATTATCCCTTTGTTTCAATAAGAAAATTTACTTTGAATCTCCAATGTACCAAATATAGTTACCTATACTATATTTACTACTAAATCAGACATTAAATTTTTAGTTATTCTCTATCAACTTTAATTTACCCATAATGAAGATTATTGAGAACCAGTGATACAAACATGCAAGTGGAAAAACTGTGAACACAAATTCTTAAGTCTGACTTTAGACATAATTAAAACATAACAATAACAATAGCAATAACAGCAGCACATAAAGTAAATTGAGTGCTAGATTTTGTGACAAATATCCAATGTGTCTTTATATTTTTCTTTTTTGAGACAGGGTCTCACTATAGAGTTCAGTCTGGCTTTGACTCTGAGTGATCCTTTTGCCTGGTCTCCCAAGTGCTGGGATTACAGATGCGCACCACCACTCTTAGCATTTCTTAAATCCAACCCTCATTATGGTGTTCCTGAAGTGGGTTTTGTATTTGCTGAATCATCATTGTAGAGGAAACTCATTACTCACTTTGCTACCTTGCTCTTGAAGCAAGTGGTGAAATAGAATTATTCCATCATTTACAGTTTGCTGGTGAAACTTTTCCTAAGTATTGTTAGCTACTGCCAAAAACTGAGAAAGAAAATTCAGCTTTTAAAAAAATATTTGACATATTTAAATTTACATCCTTCTAGCTTCTTTATCTAATAAAACATTCCTTGGGAGCCTAGGAGATAGCTCAGTGGAATAAGTGCTTGCTTGGAAAGCACAAGGTCCTGAGTTCAATCCTTGGTACTACCAAAACAAACAAACAAAAACTATATATACACTATATTATTATTATTGAAGCTAGATATTGTGTTCCTATGATTCACTATATGAATATTTTATTTAAAAAAATGAAATACAGTGAAGCAAGTACAATGAAATATGGAAGTCTGGTGCATCCTTCCTTTAGGGAAGGATTTCTCAATCAAGAAGGGTTTTATTTAGATGTCCTGGAGGAGCCTAGGCTGAAGGAAGGGAGCAGGGGTCAGAGGAGTGGGAAGACAGGATGGCTGGATACAGACAGCAAGCCTGAACAGAGAGGAGCATACAAAGTTAAGTAATACAAAAGTATGGTGTTCCCTAGGTTCTTAATTCGTGCTCCCGTCATAAAGAACATCTAAATGAGCTTAAGAAGAAGCTCCTATTTCCAGTCTAATCTCATTGGATTGTCTAAATTTCAGGCATGTCCCCTAGTGAGCTTTTAAATTTCCAAAACAGGACACTTGCTGAATGATTATATTCTAAATTTGCTTCAGAAATGGCTGTATCGGCAATAGTCCAATAAATGGCCATTCAACCCTTATAAGTAGTTAAGTAAATATATTAAGTAAATACATTAATTAATATTGTAGCTAAATATATTACTAAGCTACTGTGTGGTCCATTCATTGTGTAGTCTAAAATATGTTCACAGTTTGTGTCAAAACTCAGTGTTGAGTCTACTAACAATTACATTGCTACCAACCTCCCGACTCCCTATTCTGACACACAATTATCTTTGCTGGTTACCCTTTTGCAAACAAACATTGTGACTATCTGACACAGTTCCATGAGAAAAAAATTCATCTTTCTTTAAAAAAATAGAGTATTTCACACTATATTATAAAACATATTTACGAAGATACACACTTGGGAAATCCTTGTTAGATATTAGTAACAAACAAATTACTCCCATTGGTTTTATTGCACAGGAACTTAGAATTGTATAAATTATAACTTCCGTTTTATGTTACCTTGTAATGCAGCTGAAAATACTACCTAAAAGTAGCATATCATAAGTAAAAAGATTAACTTCAACTATTGAGCTTTCATATAAATTAAATGAGGGAAAGAAGCTCTGAAAAATTCAGAGAATTTATCATTTCCTTAATGAAAATCAGTATGCATACGATTTGTTTCAATTTCCTCTACGTTTGGTATTTAAGAAATTAGAGGAATCTTGCCTGATACCAAGTGAGATGAATATGCTGATTGCCTTGGTATCTATCAGAGTACCTTGGAATACATAGCAGAACCTGCCAACCAGAGCACTGTGCTGGGTGCAGGTAGTTGGTGAGCCTTAGGCATTACTTCCTCAGTGCTAGGGCAGCACCAGCCTTCCTGCCAGCTAACTTCGTTTAAGGTTAGTCTCACTGGCTTATCTCGAATTAACAGACAACTATTATTTTTTTGTGTACAACCCTGGTAAAACCAGTAATCAATGTCGTGTCTCATATTTAACCCATTATCATGTTTTCAGAGTCCAGATATGAACACAGTTTTGCACATGACCACAGGAAACATCTCTGGCTTTCTTGTGCTTGCTGTGATTATGTAGAATTTGTCATGTCTGCCTCAAAATGAAGGACTCTGCATGCCTTCACAATGCAATGATTCTTTCAAACACTGTTAAATACAAAGAAAAATACCTGTTAAGATGTTACTCCAAAGACATAAGAAACAAAGAAATTATTTCTTTTTGGAACAATAACCTGTTCTGTTAGTTCAGTATCATATATGTTATGTCCGGGGCAGCCTTTCTAAGTTATTCCTTTTCCTGATACTCTTTATAACTTTTTCATCATCAAACAATCCAAATCATTTTCATTTCACCAGTAGAATTTTGAATTATACATTTAATGTATAACTAAAGAAAAAAATACCTCATCAAGGTGTTAGGAAAATATTCATTATCATGTTTGAAATAGAACATTTTACCTTAATCTTGCAATGGATACTGACTTCCTTCCTAAACATAAGTAGTACTACTAATGTTCACTGGCCTTTACTTTTATTGTTGAGTTCATAGTGTAGAATTTTATTCATTACAAGTCATAACATTTTTTTAAAAGAATCCTATGTCAGTTTAGTAATGAAAGTCTAAAGACTTTGCAGAGATTGTCAAATGATGAGACCCAAATAGATTACTGAAAGTAAGAATCAGCATTTTTAGAAAGATTTGTACTTTCTTAGAGCTGTAGTCTAGGACTTCTAAACGATATGTGTATATTCTGATTTAAAATTAACAGACTAGCAAAGAGAAATACTTTATGATAATAAAAAGCAGAGTGAAGTAAGTTTCCTCTATTTTATTTGTTTTTAGTTAGATAAATGAAAATAAAGCAAATTCTGTAATGAAAGAAAAGTATTAAATGTATCTCAAGAAAACAAATATGGAATAGAGGCAAGACCACTATGATTCAAAATGGTGCCTTTCAATATTATTCATTATGAAGAATTAACAGTTACATGTAAAATATGTAGTGCTGAGTCTGGCAAGGATCTTGCAATAGTATGTTATATAATGGATCAAATCTAGAGGATCAAATTCAGCATCTTGTGCTTGCCAGGCAGATAGGTGCTTATGCTTTTGAGCTATCTCCCTAGCCTGCTAATATTATATTTACTAAATTTATTTTCAGAACAAAAGCACACAAATAGAAATGAAGAAAAGATCACCAGCTTTTATAAGTGCTTCTGTAGATACCTTGGAAGAGTCTACATTTGAACATAAAGAAGGTAAAGTAAACAAAACAAAATAAAACAAATGAAACATTCAAGGGGAAGATATTATTATATTTATAAGACTCATGTTTAAGAAATATTTTTTTCAGAATTTAGATTGTTATAACAAAAATTTTTAAATAATGTGATTACATTAAGATAAACAGTGAACAAAACTTCAGAAACAAATGGTCTTGCACATTAAAAAAGTGTTATCAATTAGTACCAAGATTTTTCTTTAACAATAAAAACATTGGAGTATGACTTAGGATTAAAAGTAGGAATTGAAATACTTAGCTAACCCTCGTATTACGTAAGTTTGAATCGTGTGTGATCTTCTGCGTGTTGATTTATGAAGAAATTCTTAACATTTTTTTAAAAAACATGCAGGTAGACTATGTAGCCCACAAGTATTGAAAATTATTAAGAAAGAAGGTGTTTTGTGAAGGCATAAAGCACGTATATAAAGTCTATTTTATTCTTTTTGGCTTGTTTGTTTGTTTGTGTATTTTAGGGAAGGGTATACAGGGTGTTCAGAATCTCACTACTAGATCAGACTTGTAGTGATCCTCCTGTTTAGAGCCTTCCAAGAGCTGGGATTACAGGCGTGTGACTTCATCCCCAGTCTCAATTGCTGTCTCAGCGTGCCCTGGGGATGGGCAAGCACAGCAGCCCTGGGGACCAAATCCAGGGCCTGTGCACCTGCTTGCACACACTTTAATCAACTGAGCATTCTGGCCGGCCTTTTTATACTTTATAATCAAAAAGTCAGCAAATTCACTGTTAAAAGTCAAAATTCTTAAAAATTACGTACATGAACACAGACCTAATGGGGCAGCATTTGTAGTCAATAGAAACATAAACAAGTGTAAAAGCAATACTTAATCATCACTTGAGAAAATAAACCATGACACATGCTTTAATAATTGTGTAGTCACCTCCTGTTGCTATCAGAGGGAACTCAGTTTGGACTAACTTAAGAAAACTCCATATGAGGCTAATCATCTCTATATGAGCAGTTTATCTCTCTGGTAAATTGCATCTTACAGTACAAAGTAATCTGCAATTCTCACATATATTCAGTAGTCATATACATACAAAAGATAAAAATATATGTTTGTTGACCATTTATTTTATCAGTTACATTTTTCAAAAGTGCAATAGTTCCTAATTTTACAATTTTCTACTGTAGAAGGGACTTTGTCCCAAATCTCCATGTTGTTCAAGGATCCATTGTATAATGTACTATTACAAGATCCTTGCCAGACTCAGCACTACGTATTTTACATGTAACTGTTAATTCTTCATAATGAGTAATATTGAAAGATACCATTTTGAATCATAGTGGTCTTGCCTCTATTCCATACTTGTTTTCTTGAGATATATCTAATACTTTTCTTTCATTATATAATTTGCTTAATGTTCATTTATCTAACTAAAAACAAATAAAATAGAGGAAACTTACTTTACTCTGCTTTTTATTATCATAAAGTATTTTTCTTTGCTAGTCTTCTACTTTCAAATCAGAATTTTACTTTTGCTCTTTGTATGCAAAAGTTAAATCTGTTTACTAGTCAAAAGTGAAACAATTTCTAATATTTAACTTTTCTCTCATCTCAGAACTTAAAAAATCCAAGAAGAAATGCCCATTGTGTTGGTATAGGATTATGAAAACTTTTTTTATCTGGGATTGTTGTCCCTGTTGGCTAAAATTGAAAGACTTTTGCCATCGGATTGTAATGAACCCATTTACTGATCTTTTCCTTATCACATGCATAATTTTAAACATACTTATTATAACCATGGATCATTATCCAATGAGTGAAGACATCATGAATCTTTTCAGTTATGGAAGCTTGGTAAGACTGTCATTGTGTATTATTTTCATGTGCAATTTCATTCATTATTATTATCATTATGTTGCCATAGCTTCAGTTTGTTCCAGTGCATCTTGTTGCCAAGTGAAACATCAAGTTTATACTTCATTTCTTCTTCCCAAACTTCCAATTTGTAAATGTTCTTGTCATCAAATAGTTTTGGAACTGGCATTTAAATTCTTTGCTTTAAATTTCAGTTTCTGAGTAACCTGCTTTCTTGTTACATTCTACAAAGACCTCAAGTATTTATTTCTACATAGCTGAGTAATATTCTATTGTAAAAAAAAAACATATCATTTTTATTCATTCCTCAGGTGATGGGTTGTTTTCAGGACTTGGCTGTTACAAATTGTGCTGCTGTAAACATGGGTGCACATATATCACTGTGATGTTATGCTTTCAGTTCTGTTGGAAAACTATTCTGGAGGGAAATAGCTGGGTTGAATGGGATTTTCAGTCCTACTTTTCTGAAAAGTCTCCACACTAATTTCCAAAGTGATTGTACCAGGCTTCATTCCTATAAACAGTGGAGAAGGGCTTCTTTTTCCCCACAGCCTCTCCAGCATTTTTTATTAGTTGATTTCTTTATGAGAGCCATTTTTCTGGTGTGAGATGGTATCTCAGTGTTGTTTTAATTTGTATTTCTCAAATGACCAGTGCTGTGGAACATTTTTTTTTGTATTTATTTGCCATTTGTATTTATTCCTCTAAGAATTGTGTATTCATCTCAGATGCTCATTTTTGACTTGTATCTTTGAACTTTGGAGCCTGATTGTTTTTAGTTCTTTATGTATTCTTAATAGAAGTCCCTTGAGTAATTGTTGGTAAAGATTTTCTCCCAATTTGTGGGTTTTCTTTTCACTGTGTTGATGATTTCTTTTGATGTGCAGAAACTTTTCAAAAAGGTGAGATCTCAGTTGTTTATTCTTAAGTATTTCCGTTGCAGTTCATTTTTTTGCTCTGAACTCACTACTTATGACTTCAAGAATTCCACATACTTTCTCTTCCAGTAGATTTAGTGTTTCTGTTTTAATGTTTAGATCTTTAATCCATTTTGAATTTAGTTTACTGCATGGTGAAATATCCATGTCTAGTTTTAGTTTTTAGCATGTGGAGAGTCAGTTTTTCCATCCACATTTGTTAAAGAGGCTATATTTCTTCCAGTGAATGTGTTTGGTGCCTTTGTCAAAGATAAGATGGCTAAGTGTATTTGTATTTGTATCTGAATCTGATGATCTGTTCTACTAAGCCTCTATTCATTTTTTTTTTTTTTTTGCCAGTAGCATGGTGATTTTATCACTGTAGCTTTGTAATATAATTTCAAGTCAGGAATTGTAGTGCTTCCTGTCTTGCCTTTGTGCCCAGGATTGTCTTTGCTAGTCTATGTCTTTCCTGGTTTCAAATAAATTTTAAGAATGTTTCCTCTAGATCTGTGAGGTAGGTTGATGGTATTTTGATAGGGCTTGCATTTAATCTGTATAACAATTTTGGGTGTATGGCCATTTTCACAATGTTGGTTCTTCCTATCCAGGAGGTAGGAATATCTTTTCATTACTGAAATCATCTTAGATCTCTTTTGTTGAGCATTGCAATTTTCATAGTATAGATCTTTTATCTCCTTTGTTAGATTAATTCCTAAGTAATTCATTTTTGGGGGTGCTATTGTGAAGGGTATTGTTTCTCTAATTTCTCTCTCAGTGAGTTTTTTATCTGTGCAAAAGAATGTTATTGATTTTTGGATATTGACTTTGTATCCTCTTATGCTACTGAATTTGTTTATTAATTTTATAGGAAAATGGATGCAACTAGAAGCTATACTCATAGATGAAATGAGTCAGACCTATATGTGTAAATATTGTACTGTCTCCCTAGTGTAAGAACCTGAAAGTTTAAATAAAATCTGAAATTTATAATAGATATAGCAAAACAAATAAACTCAACATAAGGAGTAAACAAAGAAGATGAGGGAAAGGAAAAAAAGCACAGGAAAAAAGAAGGATGGAGGAAAAAAATCATGCAAGTATATAAACAGGATATCTGAGGTGGTGTTACTACTAATTCCATCATTTCTTTAAAATAGCAGTTATTGATTAAAATTTTCACTTTGACTAACTCAATATGCTAATATCTGTAATCTGTAGAACAATATTGAATATAGCAACGTGCAGTACAAAAACCACGGTTGAATACTTCTCATCTTGTTCTTCTAAATGTGTGGCACTTCTAATGTCTTATCAATTATGATTATTACTCTCTTTAAAAAATTAAAATATGAAAAGTAAAAAAGACAAGAGAAATATAAAGGTTTATTGAAAACAAGCATTAATGTTCCATTATTTGTCCAATCTTGCATCTGTTAATGTGTTATCTGCTAATTTGAGCAACAGATTTGGTGATAAAAATACATACTATAACCGTAATTGTTAATTTGCCATTCTTTTGAAAATCTGTACCATATATTATAACATAATTTTTTACAACAAATACATTAAACCAAATTTATTTTATTTTTATTTCATAGCTTTAATTGTTGCTCTAATTGCTAGGTACTAATATAAATACCCAAACTGGTATCAGTCATTTTTGAACTCTACATTTAGTTGGTACTAAATCAGCACATTTTTGGTAGGTTTGCTCTTTTATTCTAGATAGAATGTGTGTGTTTCTGTTATACATTGGAAAATTGAATATCTTAACATATTCTGAAGGAATATTTTTAAATGGAAAGATTTTTACTCTCAATTATTTGTTTCCTGGAAGAATGCCATTTATGAAAATATTAGACACTTCATAGATGATTCTGACATGGGATGGTTAAATGTAATATATGCGTCTTTTGTCATAATGCAGACTCCCAAACTCAGCAGATGTTCAGAGAAATTTTGAGGAAAGTGAAGGTCAAAAGTTGATACTAGGTGACAGTTTATGTATGTGACATTTCTGATGAGTAATGGAATAATTGTCCCTGACATGTTTTGTTTTTATTTAGGTTTTCCTTGGAATATTTACAGCAGAAATGATTCTTAAAATAATTGCCATGAATCCATATCAATATTTCCAAAGAGGATGGAACATTTTTGACAGCATAATTGTGTTCATTGGTTTAGTAGAAATTTTTCTAGCAAGTATTGAAGGATTGACTGTAGTAAGTAGAATCAAAGCTGTAATTTTTAATTTATTGATTTATCTTAACTTAATCAACATACAGTGGGATGTTTGAAGCAGAAAATATTCCCACCTGAAATGTCGTAATATTCAATGAATCGATCCATATATAAAGAACTTATGAAAATTAAACTGTTCCCAATGCTGTTACTTGTTCCAACTTTTAACATAAAGAGGTCCATATATACAGCAAATTTCATGTGCAGTTATAGAAGCCATAGCCACTATAATTGAATATTATTTTAATAATAAGATAACGAGAAATTCTAGGAATGGAATGTTAATTTGTTACTGCGAAAGTGAAAATGAATGAATATTTGTAAATTTGGAGTTGAACATTTATTTTAAATTTTACTGCAAAATTTATTATATCAGAATCCCATGTGTTTACAAACAAGGGAAGCAGTGACAATAAGAAAGTAAGGAAATAAAAACTATAGTAAAACAGTATTTATGAAGCTGCTATCTGTTCAGTAAATGCCACACTGTCTCCTTCTGGTGACAGACTGAAAGAATGGAGCAGGAATTAGAAACAATGAAGCAGATTTGATTTTATCCAAATGGCTGTTTCCTAAAGGGCAGCTTCTTTAGAACCCTATCTTATATTTTGACAATGCAGACAATGAACAAGAGAAATATATACAGGATGTAAATATGAAATTATGGATGAATAAAACTGACCAAAAAAATAGGGATGTCCAGATAGCTCAGCAGATTAAGGCACCTGCCTAAGCAGACCCCAGGGGACAGGGTTTGATCCCCAGCATGCGGTGCGATCTCCACCCCCAGGGCACACTGAGATGCAATTTAGACTGTGGGTAGTGTGCATGCCTGTAATCCCAGCGCTTGTTAGGCTGAAAAGCAAGAAGTTTCACTACAAGTCGATCTGTGTCGTGAGACCCTGGAGACCCTGTACTAAATACATAAAAAAAGACTGTCAAAAACAACAAAAAGTCCTAAAAGATAATATTAAAATACATTGCCAGCTAATAGTAGAATGAGTCTAAGGTGCTTAAATTTCACATAGGTAAATATAAAATCTTACTTTCGAGTTCAGAAAGACAAATAGTATATATACTTGAAAAAGTCAGTAAAGTGTAACATATTAAAATTATGTGTGGGTTTTAGATGTCTGTATATACACTATAAGATAGAAACCAAAATTTTAAGATGAATTTGTACTGTTTAAATATATATGAATTACCTGCTGAAAAAGAGGAATAGCATAGATATTAAACATGAAATATTGTACTTGATCTTTGGCATGATAATTTCTTAGTAAGATCTTCAATAGAATTCCACAGATCCTGACAAATTCTTTTAATATCACCAATATATGTCATAATGTGGAAAAATAGCCTGTATATTGTGAATAGTAAGTCAAAGAATGGATACTATTTTGCCAAATATTAAAATATAAAATTAAAATATTTATGATTATAATACTGAATAAGAGCCAACAAGTTGATCAACAAAAGTGACTTGGTATAAATTTCTGTACAAAGTTGTATAATATGTAATTTTTATTAAAACTTTTATGTAAAATTAATATTCACAGGTTCATATTAATACCTAATCCTGAATATTAACTTAAAAGCTATATATGTTTCAGTACAGTGCAGATAAAAATTTTATTTTTTCATTTTTTATTAATTTTATTCATAAACAGCAATGAGACAGTTTCAAAACCAGTTAGTAGGACAGTTTCAATAATTAATACATTGCATATTGTTGTCTTCTTAGTGGTTGTTCATAGTACAAGATGCAGATATGATATCCTGTCCACAAACATTATTAGAACAACTCTTTCTGTTCATTGAATTAAGAGAAAGTAGCTGTATATCTATCCTAAGTATTTTGTATATGCAGATACAAAATGGTCCTTCATTTGCATCCCCTTTTTTGTTTAGTTTTGTCAGAGATAGGTATTTCATTATCATTTAAATATTGTAGGTGCATGAATTCAGCAAAACATTCCGATATAGTCCAATAGTCCATAATAGTAGTGGATTATCCATAGGACAGGCAATGTCAGAAATTGTTGACTCGAGCCTTATACAGCTCAACATATTAATATGGCTTTACTTTTTAAACCTCGCTTTTATACTTTTCTGCTGGATAGTTAAGACCACAATGAAGCAAGACCTATATAACAAGAAATGTAACTTTTGTAGCAGATGAAAATTTTAAATGTGGGATACAATGAGTACTGACTGGATTTTGTTGTTTGCTTCTTTCTTATTCTTTCATTGTTTTGTTAGTTGCAAATTTTCAAGTTGGGGAAATATTGGCCAACATTTCGGAGGCTGCTGGTGACTCTTCATAACTCATTCAGGAATTTAAAAGACACAATTCTGCTACTCTTGACATTCATCTTCTTCTCTACTGTGTTTGGCATGAAGCTATTTGGTCAGAGTTACAAAGATTGTGTCTGCCGCATAGACAAAGACTGTCAGCTTCCCCGTTGGAATATGTATGACTTCTTCCACTCCTACATATTTGTGTTTAGAATTCTTTGTGGAGAATGGATAGAGACCTTGTGGGACTGCATGGAAGTGGCAGGTCAACCCTCATGCATTTGTTTTTACATGATGGTTATTTTGATTGGAAACTTGTTGGTAAGTATTCTATGCTTTCACATTGTCTTTCAAAATAACTAGTACAATGTATGTTGATATTTTCATAATGTAGATTGATAAAGTCCAGTGACCTATAACTGAATGGTGCAATATTGGGACCAGTAGCCCTGCTTGGTGTCTCTCATCACTTACAATATGACCAGTTTAATGCAAGATGTACAGTAAATATGAAATACACACTGAATTTACAATGCTTCCTTATTGAATGCATTTCAATGCTAATATCTATAAGTACATTTAGTTAAATAAAATACATTATTAAAGGTAATTTTGAGGGCTGGCCATATAGTGGACTAAAGTACCTACTTAGGCAGGCTCAGCAACCGGAGCACCATCCAGGGTGTGCCTTGCCTGCATTGCCCCAAAGGCATGCTGAGACATAAACTGAGACTAGGTGTTGTGGAGTGTACCTGTAATCCCAGCACTTGGGAGGCTGAAAACAGGTGGATCACTACAAGTTCAACCTGTGTAGTGAGACCTTGTAAACCTTGTACTAACACATTTTTTTTAAAAAAAAAGTATGTGTTCATCTCGGATACCTATTTCTGGATTGGGTCTTTAAATTTGGGGACACTTACGTTTTTTAGTTCTTTATAAATTCTAGGGAGCAGATCTTTGTCTGAGTGCTTCTTAGCTAAGATATTTTCCCCAATTTGTGGGTTGGCTTTCCACTTTATTGTTAATTTCTTTTGATGCGCAAAAACTTCCCAGTAAGAGCAGGTCCCAGTTGTCAATTCTTTCAAGTATTACCTGTGTGATTTGCTTTTTGTTCATGAGCTCTTTGCCTACCCCTATGTCTTCAAGAGTTCCTCCTACTTTCTCTTGCAGGAGATTTACTGTTTCTGTTTTAATGTTTAGATCTTTAATCCATTTTGACTTTAGCTTCATGCATAGTGATAGACCTGGGTCAAGTTTTAGTTTTTGGCATGTACAGAGACAGTTTTTCCAGCACCATTTTTTAAAGAGGCTATCTTTCTTCCAGTAAGTATGTTTGTCCCTTTTGTCAATGATAAGGTGGCTGAGTGTGTTTGCAGAGGCTTCTGCATCTTCTATTCTATTCCATCAATCCTCAGGTTTATTTTGTTGCCAATACCAGCTGATTTTATCACAGTAGCTTTGTAGTATAATTTCAAGTCAGGAAGTGTAATGCCTCCTGCCTTGTCTCTGTTGCCCAGGATTGCCTTTGCTACTCTAGATCTTTTCTGACTGTTCTGCTACAATGCTGTATATGGTTAGATTTCTAAATTTCTGTGTAAAAATATGTAATTGTTTATTCCTATTTAAAAATATTTTTTATTTTTAAAATTTCTTTCCTCATATTCTGTAGGAACTTAAAGTTTAACATATCAATACTTGATGGAAAATGCCTGTTCTGTGTTATGTCTAAGATGTTTGATATTCATTCAGATAGTGAGGTTAAGCTCACCAGCTTATGTTGTAGGGTAATAACAATAAGCATGTCTTCTGGAGGGTTTGTACACCAAATATTAGACAAGAAGAAGGGCTGCAAGGACAGCCAACATTTTGGCCCTAGACTTTCAAGGTCAGTGAGGACTCAGGACATAGCTGAACCTGTACTGTAACATCATATAACTCAGCTATGTACCAAATTTTCTGATCAAGAGGATTATGGAACCACAGAGGAAAGCGATCAATGATGTAAATGGTGCCTAAGGAGAGTCACATGGAGAGAAAACATTCTTTCAGGCTTTCATAGAGAGCAAATTGGTCAAGCAATGACCTTGACTCATCCAGATGGCTGACACTGACAAAGCATCTACAAACTCCAGTACAGGGTTTCAGGGTAAATCCTGAGGGGTCTAACTGATCTTGTCAGATACAAAAGTTACATTTCTTGTTATATAGATTTTAATTTATCTTGGTCTTAACCATCCAGCAGAAAAGTATAAAAACAAGGTATAAAAAGTAAAGCCATATTAATATGCTGAGCTGTAAGAGGCTCATATCAACAATTTCTGACATTGCCAGTCCTACAGAAAACCCATTGCTATTATGGACTACTGGACTATATTGGAATGTTTTGCTGAATTCACGTGCCTACAATATTTAAATGACAATGGAATACCCTTCTCTGGCAAAACTAAACAGAAAATGGATACAAATGACCATTTTGTATCTATATATTCAAAATAGAATAGATAGACAGCTACTTTCTCTTAATTCAATGAATAGAAAGAGGCATTCTAATAGTATTTGTGGACAGGATATCATGTCTGCATCTTGTACTATGAATAACCACTAAGAAAACAACAATATGTAGTGTATTAATTATTGAAATTATCCTACTAATCAGTTTTGAAACTGTCTCCTCGCTATTTGTTTCTCAATAAAATTATTTTTTTAAAAAGGTAATTTCAGGCTGGCAAGATAGTTCAGAGGACTAAACACCTGTTAAGTAAGTGCAGGGTCCAGGGTTCGATATCTGCACCACATGTAGTGCTGGCTCCACCCCCAGGCACTTTGAGCAAGGCACCAACTCCAGGAGTGGTGGTGCATGCCTGTAATCCCAGAGCTGGGGAAGCTGGAAACAGGAGGATCACTAGGAGTCTGAGCTGTGTAGTAAGACCCTACCCCAAATAACTAAAATAAAATAAAGGCATTTTCACTTGTTTTTTGTTTGTACTTAAACTTTGTTTAAAATTACGTGTGAATTATATTTCTATTGGATAGTGCTAGCTGCTGTATGTCTACTGGATAGTACTAGCTACTAACTGGTATTGCTATTCAAAGTAGTACTGACAGCATAAAATTCTGGCAAACTTTTTAGGGTGTGAGTGACAAACTGCAACCCAAAACCCACTTATTTATTGCAAAGTGCCAACACTCCCATTAAACCTAAATACTCAGGTTTTAGTTAAGAAAACCAACCATATATCAGTGTATTTTGACTTAAAGGAAAACACAACTATACATGTGTAATAAGTTCACCACGGCTGACAGATCATGAGAAACGTGCACTCTCAGATCATATTCCACACCTTAGAAAAATAATCTACATGGCTACAATAGCCTTAGGTGATTTGAGTGCTTGTTAAATTTTAAAAAGCTGTTACATGTAGCACTGGCTGTCAAATTTGCCTGCAATTTGCAATTATCCAGAGAATTTTTAAAAACCACTGGCCTTTTAGATCCATTCCCAGTGATTGTGATTTTATCACTATGTAGATATAGCATGGATATCAGAACTTCTTAAAGAAACTCTCAGGCTGGGGATATAGCTCAGCAGTATAAGTGCCTGTCTGGTAAATGCAAGATCCTGAGTTCAATCTCCAGTACTGTAAAATGAAAAAAAAAGAAACTCTCATTTGACATAACAGTTCAACAAATATTATAATCCATTGGTCCAAAAACAATTTTGTCTAACCTTTCACTTTTAAATGTCCTAATAATTCTTGAATCAAAGAAGTATGTTTAATTGCCTACAAGTGTTATAAAATTATAAAAGAAAATTTTTCTTATGGGAAAATTACAGACTGAATATTTGCTTCTTACTCATATGTCATAAAGACCAAGTACATTTATAAAAACCTTAAAAGTAAGTCATGGGTTACATCTAATTTTACCTTTGACCCTCATTTCTTTTCATTTCATAAATCATACATGAATGAGATGGACATTGTGTTTGTTTACTGTAGTGGCTCATCTTCCCAATGAAACCATTGGTTTCAGGGGAGCAGGAATTGTGAGGAGCATGTCACGAAGCTTGGAGTAGAGCCCAACATGTGAAATGATTCAAAGCCCTCAGCTCCTAGCAGCTATTAATACACTTTGAACCTCTAACAATATTAAACTTCTAGCTGTATACTATTCTATATAGGTAAAACAAAGCTGAGCTAATATACAACTGTATAAAACACAAAATATCAGCAACTGACCTGGTTTCCATTGTGTCTGGCACAGATATTCAGATCTCAGCTGTCTCCCTCTGTGCTCTTTGCTCTGTTTTATCAGAATCGCTCCTGCTCTCCAACATTTTGCATCACCACAATCTATCAAATCTAGTGGAAGAGGGATTTTTTCCTAAAGCCACGGAAAAATTTTTTATACTCTTATTAAATCTCGTGCCCATTTCTGAACTAATCTCTCTACTTCTCAAAGTGTCAGATGCATTTATTATATTCAGTCACTTAGAGTACTTCCTCGGAAGTAGAGATAGCATCCGTCCAAACCCAAATTATACACAATATAATTTGGACTAATAGCTTTAAAAGGATAATTTTCCAAATTGGATGTACATTTCTGCATATAAAAGAAAGGGCTATGATTGCTTTAGCAAGAAACACTACTCTGCACACACACATGCGCATGTGCACACACACGCATGTGCACACACACACTCGTGCACACACAGAGGCAGAGTAAGAGAGCAGATGAAAGCCAGAGAGAAAGCAGAAATGTGAAAACAAATATGTCAGTTCCAATCTATGTTTCTTATTCTTACTGATTTGAAACTTTAAATCATATTCTTCCCTTTGCTGTTAGCTAGCCATTATATTTTGGGGCTCTATACATCTTTAGATTTGATTTCTCTCAATAGTGATCCATTTGTGGGGCACCATGATCATAACACTAGAGTAAATACAAAGTGGGGTAAGTAGAAGGGAGTTAAGTTGTGAAGATGTGGATCTTTTCATCTTGAATATGTCTACTGTGCAAAAGAAAGGGACTTTATTTATTTTTTATAAATTTTATTGAGAACCAAGTAGCAATGACATAGTTTCAAAACAGGTTAGTAGGACAGGTACAATTATTAATACATTGTATATTGTTGTCTTCATAGTAGTTATTTATAGTACAAGATGCAGACATGATATCCTGATTTTATATTTCTAAAAATCTAATTTCATCTTATTCCCCAATAAAATTTTCAATGATTCTAGGCTATAAGTAAAAATATTTTTTAAAAAGTGTATGGATAAACATATCTTTAATTTGATTTTAAATAATTCTATCATTTTTGTTATAGAAGAGTAGAACTCAGATATTTTACAAAACACAAGTTCAACTCCCAGTTGTGGCACTAAGATTGTTCATATTACACATCCCTTTAAGCCTGACTACATTTAATAAGAGAATGAACTTAATAGAAACACATCCTTTATAATGCTTCTGTAAGTATCATTCAGTAGCCTATATATGATTAATTCTTTTCTTTGTACTGTACTAAATTTCTATCTCGTGTCTACAGACTTTTTGTAAATTATTAAATACATTTAAAAATTCAATTCCTTATAAACATAAATTATTTCCAAATGTTTTGCATGCAATTTATATACTTAGCACCAGGTAAATTATAATATCAGATATGATTGCATAAACCAAACAAGAAAGCATAAAAACAAGAAAAGAAATGGTAAAACAATATGAAATTAATTTAAATTTGAGTTTAAATGTGTATGCTATTCCATGTCTATTTACAAATTAAATTAAATATATATCCAGGCATGATTAGAATAATATTAAAGCAAAAATCCCTCAATATTTAATAGATTCCAGCTCCTCATTTATTTGATTTCCAATCAAAAAAATTATGTTTTGAATTTTTCTTCTCTTTCATTCCATTTGATTTTAGATTTTTAAATTAATTTTATTGTGAAACAGATAGCAATGAGACAGTTTCAAAACCAATTAATAGGACAGTTTCAATAATTAATATATTGCCTGTTGCTATCTTTGTAGTAGCTATTCATAGTACAAGACGCAAATATGATTTCTTGTTTAAGCACTATTAGTACAAATCTTTCTTCTCATTGAACTAAGAGAAAATAGCTCTATATTCATCCTATTTAGTATATACTGATATGTATCTTTTCACTTCAAAGTGGTCCTTCATTTTTAATCCCCTTTTTAATTTAGGTGTGTGAATTCAGCAAAATAATCCAATATAGTACAGTAGTGCATAATAGTAGTGAATTATCTGTAGGACTGGCAATGTCAGAAGTTGTTAACTTGAGCAATTTAAAGCTCAGCATGTTAATATGGCTTTACTTTTTATACCCCATGTTTATAATTTTCTGGTGGATGTTTAAGACCAAGTTAAATCAAGATCCATATAGCTAAAATGTAACTTTTGCATCTTACAACATTTACAAAGTCAATCAAATCCCTCAGGATTTACCCTGAAACCCTGTACCACAGTTCGTAGATCCTTTGTCAGTGTCAGCCATCTGGATGAATCATGGCCATTGCTTGACCAATTTGCTTTCTGTGAAAGCCTTAGAGAATGTTTTCTCTCTATATGACTCTCCTTAGGCACACTCTACCTCATCGATCACTTTCCTCTGTGGCTCCATATTCTCCTTGATCAGAAAATTTGGGACACCACTGAGTTAAAGGATGTTACAGTACAGGTTCTCTGATGTCCTGAATACTCACTGACCTTGAAGGACTAGGGCCAAAATATTGGTTATCCTTGTAGCCCTTCTTTTTCTTTAAAGTTTAGCTTATCAACAATTGTTGGAAAATACCTGTTCCATGTTATGTCTAAGATGCTTGATATTCAGATAGATAGTGATTTTAAGCTCAGCTGCCTACTTTATAGGTAATAATATCATTAAGCTTCTCTTCTGGAGGGTTAAAAACTTAAGTTTTCAGACCAAAAAATTAGAGCAATAATTCTTTCACAACTCATTTTTTTGTGTGAGCAAATCTACCCAACATCTGTTTCTGTGTATCTGAAGATGTAGTACAATGTGTTCAGCACCTTGGATAGCTCTCGCACCAAACAGGCTGAAATGGAACTAGTTGCCCAAAGTAGCAATTCTTGGCTTACCTTGAGTAAAACAGCCTGGCTTAGTGATAAAATAAACTTTTGGGATAAGGCATATTTGAGTCTATTGTGTTTCATTTGAATATTTAATGTACACAATGCTTGACTGTTCATCTGTAAAAGAGAACCAACTCATTTGGGAGTTCAGAAAGAGTTCTGGTGAGACAAATGGAGGACAGCACCTGACACATCTCTGATGAAAGTGAACTGAGCAGCACTGCAGTGCACACATTCATGTTCAGATCATGGATCCACACTGTGGAAGGGTGTTTTATATTGTTTAAAGGGAGAAAAAGTGAGATATATTTATCTTCATTTTATTTTTTTACTTAGATCCTTTACCTGTTTGTGGGACTTGTGAGTTCATTTCATTCATACCAAGACGCAACAGCTGAGGAGTACAATGAAGCAATGAATGTCCAGCTTGCAGTGGCAAGAATTAAGAAAGCAATAACCTATATTCTTCTTAAAATACTGTGCAAGAAGCAAAACCTTCCAAAGAAAACAATGGACCATGTAAATGATACATACGTTAAAGAGAATGCTTCAGATCACACGCTTTCTGAACTGAGCAATACTCAAGATTTCCCCAGAGACACAGAGAAGGAGAAAAGCAGCGATACAGAGAAAAACACAATGACTGAAAATGAGAGTCAGTCTCTTATCCCTAGTCCCAGTGTCTCTGAGACTGTACCAATTGCCTCAGGAGAATCTGACATAGAAAATCTAGATAACAAGGAAATTCAGAGAAAGTTAGGCCAAGGAGACAGCAAAGGGGTAAGGGTTTTTCCTTGTTATTTGCTCACTTTTTTACACTTCATAAAGGGGTATGTCAGGGATGAGTTTCCAGAGCCAGACTATACACCCAGTATATGATCTACCTGTTTTAGTTCTAATTTCAGCCTTTTTGAACATATTACTTAAATTTCTAGGTTTTATTTTCCTAATGTGTAAAGGAGGATATAGTTGTAATTCTCAAGGAGGATAGAAAGAATAAGAAAAAGAAATTGTTCAGCAGTAACTGTACATAGAACATTGCCTAATATGTGTAAGCATTTAGAAAACTTAGGAGGCATAATATGAAAGTCTGTAAATAATGAAGCAGGTAATTTGGTTCAATGAGAAACATACAGAAAAACGTTTTTAAAATCAGTACGTATGACTTGAGAAATCACCAAATATACCTGGGTTTTACCATCTTCAAAATATAAAATGAGATTAGTAAAAAGCAAAGATTATACTGGGCTAGCCAGATACCTTAGTGGATCAAAGTGTGTACTTAGGCAAACACAGGGACTAGGGCTCAATCCCTGGTGTGCCATGCCATCCCTGCTCCCAGGGCACACCAAGATGGTGAAACATACTAGTCATGGTGGTACTCACCTGTAATCCCAGAACTTGGGAGGCTGAAAATAGAGGAATCACTACAAGTTTGATATGTGTAGTAAGACCCTGTAGAACCTGTAAAATAAATGTAAAAAAATAAAAAAGAAAGAAAAAAAGAGCAAAGCCTATAACTTGCTTAAGTTGTAAAATTTCAGTTATTTCATTTGTGTAACACACATAAGATTAAGTTGAGCAAAAAGATACAAAAAAAACTACAGTTTGAATTATAAACAATTGGTAGATTTATTAGCCATAGGTTAAATAAATAAATAAACAAAGCCAGGGCCACATTTTAAAAATGGTAATTGCTGTTGTTGACTTAGCTTTTAAGATATACGATCTCTAGAAATGGCTTATGGTCTCCATTTGCAAGAGACATCATGTTGTAGGAGGAGGAGGAGTTTAACAGAAAGCTAAACACACAGAGATCATTGTGTACTGTGGCATTCTTGTCTTGGGTGCCCCCAGAGAATCATTTCAGGCCACTCAAAGATCAGGGAATGTGTCTTTGCAGATTTCCAGTATCTCTGCTGCTATATTTTCCCCAGACTCTTCTGGTTTAAGGGTTCTCTCTGCAATAACTTCTGAATTTCCCTATGATCATCTATCAGCAGTTGAGAGTCAAGGGTTCAGGATCCCCTAGAACCTATTGAAGGTGTTGTCATTTTACACAGAGAGATTTTTTTTGACATTTTGCATGGTAAATCTTTTCAGGTTTGATAACATTACAAGACTCAGGAAATTCCAACCATTACAAGACTCAGGAAATTCCAACCAATCACATTTCTGTATTGTGTGTGAACACTTTTTTTTTTTTTTTTTTTTTGGCAGAACTGGGGATTGAACTCAGGACCATGTGCTTGCCAGGCAAGCGCTTATGCTACTGAGCTATCTCCCCGGGTCAATGTGTGAACACTTTGACTACTGTCTCTCGGTCTTTAGACAACATTGCTTTTAACCAGATTGCATCATTTTGAGAGATCCCTGACAATTTCCTTAGAAAATGTAGACTTTAAAAAATACACAAAAAAGATAAAATGTAAAATTACAAAAACTGTTGAAATTTCAAAAGTTGCCACTCATGGTGCATGGTTGGTCCTGATGAAGAAAATAAAAACTTTCTAACTATATTTCTTTTACACTTATTGTGCATAAGGCTAATATATATAATAAAATGTTTATTGTCTACTTTTCTTTCACTCTTAATCATATAATGAATCTGACTTTTTTCAAGTATATAATATGCTCACCTTGGTTTTGTTTTAATTAAAATATTCTATATAATTTTCTTGTTGCATTTGATGATAACTTCATGGGAATTCCTATTTGATAAATACAAATACAATATTATATTGACTGAATTTTGCAGTGAAACTAACTTCATTATTTCTTAGTCATATTTTGTTACTTTTCATCTAGCATTTATGGCATACTTGTATATAGCCATAAGATAATTTTGAAACCTAAATTATTTTGTAAAATTTGAAGTGGACTCTTATGAACAAAATGGTTTTTGTTTGTTTATTTTCTTCTAAAAATGCTACAGATCAAAATCAGGGTTTTGGGCATGCTGGACAAATGTTTTACTACTAAGCCATATCTCCATTCTTACACCACTATTTTCATTTTACTATGAATTTTGATCTGAAGTATTTTAGCTTAAATCAAGTATCTTAGGTTAAATAAAGTATTTAATAAAATTCAACAATCACTAACATGTGTATACCTTTCAGGAAATTGGCTTAAGTCTTTTAAACTTCAAAATATTCCTTCTGTACATAATTTTTCTTACTTCTAAAATATGAAATAGGGGCCGGGAGATGGCTCAGTGGAATAAGCGCTTCCCTGGCAAGCCCAAGGGCCTGAGTTCAATCCCTAGTTCTGCAAAAATAAATAAATAAACAAAATAAAATATGAAATAAATCTTACCTATACCGATAAAATTAAACTTAAAACTACAAATTTTTGTTGATTCTCTTTTTAGAAAATAAAACAATCTAGCTCATCTGAATGCAGTACTGTTGATATACCTACCTCTGAAGAAGAGATGATATATGAACATGAAAAGTCAAAGCATCTAATAACTGGTAAGAAAACAGTTTCTTTGGTAATTTTATTGAAATCACACTAAATTCTTTAACCTACTCAATATTGTTGGATTCACTGTTAATCTTCATGTGTTTATTAGGTTTGTAAAGAGGAACACGCAGGAACTTGTATGGGAGCATGTGCAATACAGCCATGTCTATACTAGTAGATACTCATGTTAAAAGTCGCAAAAAATTTTAACATAGGAAAAGAGGGGAAGGGGCCTATTTCTCAGGGTTTCTAATGCACTAGTTTCCACCTTTGATTCTGGAATAACTCACTTTCTCATCTGATAATTTCCAAATGTGGCAAAACAATGAATGCCCTGGGATTAGACAAAAGATTAAATTAGTATATGTGTGTAGGTTCAAATGTAGATGTGTGTATGGAAATCTCTGAAAAGAAAAAGAACTTGCCTCCCCACCAAAAGCAGTATTCAATAATAGCCTCATTGCTTCATCATTCTTCTTCATTGACATAGCTTATAGAGGCTATCTTATAGTTATGGTTAAGGCAGAAAATAACTATAAACAGTGGTGTGTGAGTGGAGTGTTACTGGTCATGATGATTTCAAAATGTATTCTTATGCTATAAATTCAATTAAGTAAATGTATAACTTTCATAATTAATTTATATGAGTAATTATATAATTCTGCGCATTACAGCAGAGCATGATGCTTTACACCTCATTAATTTGGGTTAATACTTAAAATGCTGATTATGAAAGACATCATATATATATTTCTTAGGAAAATAAATCATAGCAGCAACAAATTTATTTATATATTTAATATGAATATAAGAATACAATATATGACTGTAGGCATTGACACACTAGGTATATGCCACATACCTCTCAATGAGTTGTTTTTCAAATGAAATTAACAAATTAATGCAAAATTGTGCATTCAAAATTACTGTAAAGTCATCAAAATGGTAACTACTAAGTGCTCCATTTCCTGTCTTCAAAGTAAGAATCTGTAATCAGAAGCCTGAATTCTAGAACATGTATTCTCAAAGGTAAATGAATAATTGTATGTTTTTAATGGAGTTGTGCAATTTGAATCTAAGGAAACAATAAAAATATTTTGACTATAAAATATATGCATCCATTTCTTCATTTTCTGATGTTAGCAATTCCCTTATCCAAACTCACATTTTCTTTCATTAACACTTTGACCAAAAATTCAGAGTTCAACCACACAAATATTCTCTTGATCCATGAAGTATTGAACATTCATGTTATTCTCTAAAGCTGTCTCATATTTCCCATTTCCATGTCACTTATGGAGAAAAATCAAATGAATTTAATTGATTTACTACTATACCTCTTAACATCTTTCAAGTATTTAAATAGGAATGGTTGTCATGCCAAGCCCTTTATGGGAGAGGGAATTCAAAGATAGTATCAAAATGGAACACTAAAAAACATTATATGTTTGTACCTTTTTTGTTTTGGTAGAGAAAAGAGATTAATTGTGTTCTTAGATTGTTCTGCAGATTAAAGGGGTATCCTTCATGCCATTTCCAATTTAGTTTTTCCTATTGCTTCCAACCCACATGTGGAAATTCTTCTTGGTGACTATAGTCACTAAAGCAGAGGCAAAAATCAAATGCTATAAAGCAGAGGCCACTTATCACAGAATCTATAAATAAAGAAGTTCAAAAACATAAGTCCTAAGTCTTCTTTACTAAAAAGTTGGAGGTGTTTATTTTTCACGAGTGTTCTAGAATTTTGTTCATAAAGTTTTCATTCTTGGCAGATCGTCGGAGGTCTTCACCTAGTCAAATAAGTAAAGAATACAAGAATGGAAAAATTTGGCAGAATATAAGGAAGACCTGCTGTAAAATAGTGGAAAACAGCTGGTTCAAGTGTTTCATTGGCCTTGTCACTCTGCTCAGCTCTGGCACTCTGGTAGGTGTGCTGTTGGGGTGAGTAGAGCTTTTATGGGGGAAACTGTGTCATAACTCTGTAATTCAGAAAGTTACCATGCCAGATTCTTTATGCAAAACACTTAGTATATCATCAGATATCATTTTCTATGATTTTAGTTTTATAAATTTTATGGTACTTTTTTAGAAAGTCTGATTATGCACCATTAAATATTAAATGCAATGTCAACATTAAACTTAAAATACAGAAATGTGTAACTTTAAAATACATGAATTATGACTGGAAATAGAATAAAATAGATACTTTATTCTTCTGATTTTAATAAAGTTTTATTTATAAAGCAGTTTAATAATTTGGATATGCAAACATTCTCTTGTTCTGGTACTCTGTTGGTTATTCAGTAAGAAAAGGTAAGCATATGTATTTCTTTTACAGACATAAGCAGGGTTAGTCATGATACGGAAATACTGATAACAGCATGTATTTCATTCAGTAAGTAAGTGGCAGTACATTCCTACTATAGAAAAAAGTATCCATAATAAAGAATGAACACAATGAGATAAGGGATCTAAAAGTACTATAATGAATGGGAAAAAAATGTATCTCAAACTACACATCTTTGTTTTCCACAAGTGTTTCAAATATTTTGTAATATATACCTATTTTAAAAATTCCTTGCTCTATAACTTATAGAATTTCACATAGAAAATATTCTCAAAATAATAAAATTTTATGGAATATATTATTATCAGGGTAATTGGCGATGTAGTGGGCACAAATATAAATTGACAAGAAAGAAGGGTCCTATTAACTGGGGGTTTTAAAATTTGACTGTACATGGTTACACAACTCTATACTTAGAATAAGAAGAGATAAAATCATGCAAAGAAAATAGTTTTAGTCTTTAAACAGAAACTGAAGATCTGTTATAATTTTAAGTACTTATAAGATGCCAATGTTTTACCCCTGAACACAACAATCTTAATCCTTCAAGAATATCCTACAGATATCCTCACATAAAGAAACTGATTTATAAGATTATTCACTGAGAGATCTATTTCAACAACCAGGATTAGATGAGATAAGGAAGCATTTGTGACAGAAGAGTGGTAAAATATACTCGGTTACCGTCAGCCAATGGAATGCTGCACAGCTATTTTGAAAACACAGGAGGTGACTTTGGACTGACATTGCAAACCTTCCAGATGTAGTAGAGCAAAAAAGAAGCCTCTAACATGACCTACTTGCATGGCATCCTTTTCATCTAGGCAAACAAGAAAACTGGAATGACTAGTGAATTCATATGCATTTGATTAAACAGCATCCAAAAAGGTTACACAAGAACTACTTATCATGAGATATCGAGCAGAAATAATGAAGTCATGGTTGGAAACCAGACTTTGCATTGTATAGAAAATGTTTTTGATATAACAATTCTCATACATACAGAAGATATCAAGGGGGCACCGTGTGGATGATATTTACAAAATCAGTGCACTCGTGTAGCTACTGCTTGGATTGCTAAACGGAACATGTGCAGAACTCCAGAAGCACATGCTAAGCCCTCATAGGTACTTCCCCACCACACATAGGCAGCCACTGTCTATACTTCAATTGCATAGATAAGTTTCATTTGTGTTTTATTTGTCGTTTCTCCCTTCTCTCATTTTGGCGTAGCATCTTCCTCATGATGATCAAGCTCATTTTCTTTGCTAGTCTGGAAATACCTTTCTTTTGTTATCAGTGTACTGGCATAAGAGGTTGAAAAGGGATCATAAAATACACTGATTTTAATTTTAGTGAAAACATGCCTCACCTACTAATATACTATTCTGGGTGCCTCTGAATCTGCATTGCCTGGATTTTAACAAATGGGAAGCACAAATACACAAAATCAGAATTGTCATGTGCTCCACATGGGATCTTTCTCCATCATGGATTCTTCCAGTAACACACCATCTCATGTTTCAAATGAGAAGGCCACTTGGAATGGAGCTAAACTGTTCTGGAACATCTTCCAGCACCAGACCTAAAAGAGAAAAGAAGTCATCTAATTGCTTGAGAAATAGTCTTACTAAGCATTATGTCTCCCTTTTTTCCTTTCCTCCTTCCTCTCCTCTCCTCTTCTCTCCTATTGTTCGTTCTCTCTCTCTCTCTCTCTCTCTCTCTCTCTCTCTCTCTCTCTCTCTCTCTTCTTCCTTTCTCTTGACAGTGTTAGGATGTCTGTGCATATCCAAAGTATTTCAAAAACTTATTTCTTATTAATAAAGTCTTACATAATGGTGTTCATGTAATCCATGAATATTATGTTAATTCCTGTATCCTCTTTTGTGAAGCCCATGGTAGGCTGAGTAATATTCCCTAAAGATGTCTGTATCAGGACTGGTGTTATAGTTCAGTGTCACAGTGCCTGCCAGGCAAGTGCTAGGTCCTCAATTTGATTCTTAAAATAAGTGTCCATATTGTAATTCCCACAATCTGGAGATATTTACTTGTATGGCCAAAGTTTTTTTTTGCTGGTGTGGTTAAATTAACAATTTTGAGGTAGGGACTTTTTTTTTGATTGCCCAAGTAGACCTTATCTATTCATAATAGTTCTTACAAAATATATGCAGGAGTCAGAATTAGAAATAAACAAAATACAAGCATATAAGCTGAGATTGAATTGAGGTGTCTTTAAAGGGAAAGAAGATACTACAAAACAGATTAGGGACAGCTAGTAGAATCTGAAAAAGAAGAAATGGATTCTTTCTTTAGACACACTCAAACACACACACACACACACACACACACACACACACACACACACACACACAGAGCCCTACTGTTACTTTGACATTAGTCCAGTAAAACTGACTTCTGGTTTCTGATCCTATGGTTTGTAAAAGTACGTATTTATATCATTCTCAGACCCTAAATTTGGTGTAATCTGTCATAACAGCAATAGGAGAGACCTGGACAGCCCCCTCAGGATCTCAGTATTTACCCCTAAACATAATCTCACGCACTCCCTTCCAGGAACCATTGCCACATGCCTCTAGCATAGCAACTTTTTCCTGTGTATTCATCTCTGCACTTCTGTGGTTACCTTTCAAAAAGAGTTAACTATTTATATTGTTGGTAACCAGGAATAGAGAAGGAGGGAGTTCCTAAAGAGAAGTTAAAACTTCTCCCTAATAGAAGGTTTTTGAATGGTCCTCAACCAACACCAGATTCAGTTTGGTCCTCCAGAGAAGCTTTGGACCCAAGCCTCACCACAAACTTCCATGCTGCAAGCTGTGCTGCTCTGTGTCTCTGTCAGTTATTGACAGAGGGGAAGAAAATTCTTGCCTCATGAGTGAAATATTTCTCTTTAAAAAGAGGCACTTCTACAAAGAGAGTTTGAGTTATGTGTTGTCACATAACACCCCTAGGCATTGTGGAATTGACTGTAATACTTCATATGTTTTTGAAATCTGTTGTGTCTTTTATTTTGTTGGATACAATCATGTTATTTGTTGTTTCTGTTAGGACCACCCAGTACAACCTTATTGGCACAGTAAAATATGTTTTGTCTGTCATGTCATCTGCTATTTAAAAACCCCCACAATTTTCATGCCATTACTCAGTTTTCTATATCTCCTTTTAGCACCATTAATTTTGGGAATATGTTGGTGACTTGTTATTTTGTACATACGGAGTTCTACTAATGATACGAATCACTTCATGATTACAACCTGAAACTTTTTACTGTTGTATATGTATATAGACTAATTTGTTTTAAAAAATTAATTCCTTTCTGCATCAATGAGATTTAGAAATCTCATGGATGCTTACCCTTAATTTTATTTCACCCCAAGGCTTTTGAAGATATATATATCGATCAACGGAAGACTATTAAAATCTTACTAGAATATGCTGACATGATCTTCACATACATCTTCATTCTGGAAATGCTTCTGAAGTGGATGGCATATGGCTTTAAAGCCTATTTCTCTAATGGCTGGCACAGGCTGGACTTCATGGTTGTTATTGTACGTATTTTAGAGAAAAATAACCTAAGGGCTATTTGATGCACTCTTAATCTTCAGCTTACTTGTGTCTCCTCCTCTCTGCATATGTTTTTAGTATGCAGCACTCAATATCCCATCTTCATGTGTAATGTTTGACATTTATATTTACCTTATTCCAAAATTTTAGAAGTTCAGGTCAATCGTCTTAAATTACAGTAAAGTCACCTATAAACCCACGGCTAGTCGAGTAAGACAGTTGCGCAATCTCTGGAAGATATCAGCACTCAAAACCTTTCAACTCTATTGGCTGGACTTTTACATAAAATATTTACAAATTGACAATAAACCATAAACTTCAATAGTATCCAACACATTAAAATGTATCATTTGTTGTTTTGGTGCAGTCAATTATAAATTGCTTCTGTTCCTGTATCCTTTCAATCTGTGCTGCACAAATAATGAGAGTAACTGATGAAAAAATCAATATCAGCCCTTTCCCCCTTTTCTCTCTGCAGCCCTCTAATCTCACTCAGAGAAAAGGCTACAGCCTGTGCAGTTAAGTGCCTGTAATGCTCCATGACCTGGTCTTACCTCCCACCACTTTCTTTCTCCCCTGTCCCACTGTGTACAGACTGCTCCACCAGCACCGACTGTCCTGAAACACCTCCAACAAGCCAAAGGCATTTTCATCTTAGGGCTTTTTTATTTCATCTTCCTTCTGCCTGGACTTTTGCTGGTATTCATTTCCTGGTTGATGTGAATCCTGTGAAGTTTATCTCATTACCTTATTTCTAACTACCCCTTTGTCTTTTTGTCTTCTTATTTATAACCACTCTTAACGTTATATGATTTATTTATTTTGTCTATTATTTGTTGTCTGCCAATAAAAAAGAAGCCCCATTAAGACAGATTATTTTTTCTTTAGGGTGTGTGTGTGTGTGTGTGTGTGTGTGTGTGTGTGTGTGCAGAGTCCCACTGTGCAGCTCAGACTCTTAGTGATCCTCCTGATTTCTTCCTCCCTAGTGCTGGGATTACAGGCATGCACCACTGCTTCCAGACTCCATCACTAGCTGAGCTTGCCTGGGGGCGGGCCCTGTGCTCCATGGCATGCAGTTCCAGGGATCAAACCCTGGATCCTGTGCTTACCTAAGAAAGTACTTAGTCCACTGAGCTATTTTGTCAGCCTCTTAGAGCAGAACTTATTTCTCAGTTTTCTTCTCTCTTTTATCTCCTGTGCCTTAATGATAATTTTTGATGGATGAAAAATGGCTCCTTATTTTATAAATAATGACATTATCTCCTCAGTCTATAGATAACCACTAAATTAAGTTACCCTAATTAATTTTTGCAAGTGATCCTTGTATTCCAGTCAAACAATTTTATCCTCAAAATTCACTGTCCTATTTCTTAGTCATTGTCCATCTGTGTCCATATCAGTTGGTGCCTCTGTAAACAATGTCCCAACTTCGAAGCGTATTTCAAGACCATCTCTTAGTACAGAACAAAATATGCAAAAAAGCTAACTTTGGTTTACCTAAAAATGTAGAAAATATGAAGATGTCATAAAAATTAATCATGGTTTATTATTTTACTCAGTCTCAGATAACATTTATCTTTAATCATTTTATGCATATGTATCTACTTCAAAAATAATTTTAGTATAGTGTCATGCGACTTGTAATTTGTACTTTTGTTTTAATATTATTCATATTCTTCTTGATGTCTCATCTTGGAAATCCTATTTTGTATTTTGACCTCATCTTACATAAAAAAATACCTAGATATATTTCAAATAATGTTTTAAAGAATGTGTTGTATATCATTATATTACAAAGAATCATATTCTTTTATATCTGTTTTCAAACTTATAATGTATACAAATACTAATCTAATATAAAATAGATTGTACATCTCAATAAAACATGGTCTTTAGGGCCGGAGAGATGACTCAGTGGAATAAGTGCTTCCCTGGCAAGCGCAAGGGCCTGAGTTCAATCCCCGGTTTTGAAAAAAAAAAAAAAAAGAGAGGTTTCAGTGGTCAAGAATGATTGCTGACGTAATGTCATTTAGCTGGAAAAAAAAGAGTCTCATGTTTCATAGGCATGTATATTTCCTAAGTCTGAACTACATTTAAAACAAATCTTTACTACCTTAAAATACTATTGCTTTTTTTCTTTTTAAGTGATTTTTAATACGTAATGATTTATTAGAACTTTGAAATGTATATTAAAATACTTTAATATTTATTTGTAACTATCTTTTAAAAATAAATTTGAACTTTATTTTGTATATTATTCCCCTTCAGATGATCACATTAACTATTTTTAAACACTGTGTACAGGTGTTTTGTCTTAGCCTGATAGGCAAAACTCAAGAAGATCTAAAACCACTCGCTTCCATTAAATTCCTTCGGGCGCTCAGAGTTCTATCTCAGTTTGAAAGAATGAAGGTAAGACAAATTTTCTAAACCATACTATGGATATAGTTTTGAAATTATTAAATTTCCATGAACTAGCAAGCTTGGCTGTCTTCACATTTTTACCTTCAACAACATTAATGCAACAAAGTTATTATTTTTGACATAAAAGCAGATGTGAATGGATATGCTAGACTCTTTAACATTTTAAGTCCTCATTGCTCATAAGATATGAATACTTGGGTTGGTCAAATAGCTCAGGGGATTAAAGCACCTGCTAGCAGGCACAGGGGCAGAGGGTTCAGTCCCCAGGCCTGGAGTGCTGGCTCCACCCTTGGGGCGTGTGGAGATGGCAAATGAGATTGGGCGTGGTGGCAGGTGCCTGTAATCCCAGCTTTTGGGAGGCTGTAAACAGGCGGATCACTACAAGTCCTGTCTGGTAGTGAGACCCTGAATACATAGCTATCCTTTCCTAAAATAAAAAAAGATATGAATACTAAGAAAGAAAATAAAACATAAAATAATAGGAAATAAATATAATTTGAAAAATAGTATATTTCTAACCTACATCAATATAATGAAGTTTTCCTTTAAGAAAAATAACTGTCAGAAAATGAACTTTTCATCAGGTAAGAAATTTTTTTTATAAGAACATTTTACATATTAAGTAGCTATTTACTAACTGAAAGCAATGTTTAAATTTTAAAAGAAATTTACTTTTTCTAAAGTCATACATCATTTATTGTATGTCCTTGGCTTCTTTCCCTTGCTCTTATCACAGCTTTTTCTGACTGATGTGAAGGAGGAATGCCAGCCACACAGAACAATGAGTGCTTAAGCTTTTGAACTGACTCAGTAAAAAAAAAATAGTCCCTGATTAGCACAAGTAGAATGAGTATGTGTGTAGATACACACTGATCAGTTATACACAGAAATGGAAAATTCTAAGTGTACCTTTTTCATGATCATACTTTTTTTTTACAGTTTTGTTTACATAGATTATTTAACATGAGTCTGGACTTTTAGGCAGGTATCACTGAATATCACACAGTGAGTGTTATTTAATGGCTAAGTAAGGAAATCATTTCTCTTTTAAACTGTAATATATCTATAGTTTATAAATTAGATGTTACATGTAAGCTGTCATTCAACAGGAAGCCATAACTTTTAAATTCCATGGGGTAAAAAATGGTTTCATAACCTCAAAATTTGACTGATTTTACTAATACATCATGTTCAAACTGTGGTAACATTCAATGGCACTTTTTAAACAAAATAAATTAGAAAATTAGTTGAAAAAGAAACGTCACTGGCAATATTTCTAAGGTTGTGAATTAAGATGTCAAAAAGCTTAATTCCTGATAAAAATATAAGGACAGGAAAACTTCATAAAATGGCATATTAACTAAAAATTATAGAAAGCTTTTCATCTCAAAACATACACATATATGTACATACCCCATAATCTTAGAGTAGTTAAATGAACTATTATAGTAAATATTATGATTCCAAATTTTTTCTCCAATAAGTTTTAATACATAGATGAAAAGAAAGTGAGCTCCCCAAGTTGTACCTAATTTAGAGAAAACCTTCCTTCTGTGCCACTGGATGGACTACATTCATGAGGAAGACAATGAGATACCAATTCATAAACTCAGGATAGGCAGAAGAGTACCTGTAGTCAAGTTAGTCAAGTCTACACCAGAAATCTCTTCTGAACCTTGAAAGTTCTGTGGTTAAATCATTTTTGTTGATTCATCTTTAAGGTACAGATTTTTTGTTTGTTTTCTAGTTATTTTTTATTTTTTTGATTAATTTCATTGAGAAACAAATATCAGTGAGACAGTTTCAAAACATGTTAGGACAGTTACAATAAGTAATACATTGTATATTGTTGTCCTTGTAGTAGTTATTCATATCACAAGATGCAAACATGATACCTTGTCTAACCACTACTAGTACAAACCTCACTTCTCATTGAATTATGAGAACCTAGCTGTATATGTATCCTAACTATTTTGTATATACAGATATATAGATATAGATATATATATGTATAGATATAAATATAGCTATATTTCACTACAAAATTGTCCTTTATTTATATCCCCTTTTATTGTTTAGTTTTGTCAGAGATGGGTATTATATTGCCATTTAAATATTATAGGTGCATGAATTCAGCAAAGTAATCCAATATAGTCCAGTAGTACATAATAGTAGTGGGTTTTCCATAAGACTGTCAATGTCAGAAGTTGTTGACTTGAGCCTTTTATAGTTCAGCATATTAATATGGCTTTACTTTTTATACCTCATTTTTATACTTTTCTGCTGGATGGTTAAGACCAAGATAAAGAAAGACCTATATAACAAGAAATTTAACTTTTGTATCTGACAAGGTCAGTCAAATCCCCTCAGGATTTATTCTGAAACCCTGTACCGCAGTTTGTGGATCCTTTGTCAGTGTCAGCTGTGTGGATGAGTCACAGCCATTGCTTGACCAATTTGCTCTCTGCAAAAGCCTGAGAGAATGTTTGTTCTCCATGTGACTTTCCTTAGGCACACTATACTTCATGGATCACTTTCCTCTGTGGCCCCATAATCTCCTTGATCAGAAAATTTGGGACACCACTTAGTTACAGGATGTTACGGTACAGGTTCTCTTATGTCTTGAGTCCTCACTGCCCTTGAAGGGTTAGGACCAAAGTATTGGCTATCCTTGTAGCTCTTCTTTTTCTCTATTTTTTTTTTGGCATGCAAACTTAAGTTGTTAACCCTCCAGAAGAGAAGTTTAATGATATTATTACCCTATAACATAGGCAGTTGAGCTTAATATCACTATCTGTCTGGATATCAAACATCTCAGACATAACATGGAACAAGTATGTTCCATCAAGCATTGATATGTTAAACTTTAAATCCCTACAGAAAGTGAAAAATGAAATAAAATATATACTTATAAGTGAAATAAGCCAGACCCACATGTGTAAATATCGTATAGTTTCCCTAGTGTAAGAACTAAAAAGAAAAAATAAAAATAGAAAGTTATAACACAATTAAATGGAAAGTGAGAAATTAAGGATTAAATAATGAAGAGAGGACAAGGAGAAAAGCTAGGAAATATGACAGGGTTAAAACCATACATTTATACACACAAGGCAATGATCCTGAAAATCTCAATCAGGTTTTTGAAACTAGTAGTTAATTGATAGGATTCTCACCATTACTAAATAAATATGCTGATACCTGTTAACTAAGCAACTGCACTGAGGACAGCAATGTGTAATACTAGGGCCATGCTTGGAATACCTGTCATTCTTGTCTTTAACTGTGTACTGCTTCTAATGTCATATGAATTACTGCTATACTGTCTCTCAAGAAAATGTTTGGTTTTTTTAAAAGGGTAATAAATGAAAACAAGAGAGAGAAAAAAATATCACAGGACCATCCTGCTACAATGCTGTCTATGATTAGATTTCTAAATTTCTGTGTAAAAATATGCAATTATTTCCATTTTTTTAGTTTTTTAAGGTATAGGTTTATAAAATTCATATTTTATATATTAATGGACCTTAACTGTTCATTAATACACAAAAACTTGTGTGTATTATTCTCTTTTATGTTAGCATGTAGGTAGACTTTTCTAATAGACATGGTAGGCCCCCCCCTTTTTTTTAATTCTACAGCAGAATCATCAGTGAACCTCTCAGAACATATAAATTATCAACATATAAAGTATCAACAAAGTATCCCTGTGCTTTCATTTTAATTTTTTTTATTTATTTTAATCTTTTTAAATGTATTTAGTGCAGGGAGGGTCTACAGGTTCTCCACTACACAGATCAGACTTGTAGTGATCCTCCTGTTTTCAGGCTCCCAAACTCTGGAACTACAGGCATGCACCACCACGCCCAGTCTCAATGGCTGTCTCAGGTGGCCCCAGGAGCAAGGCTGGCACGGCATGCTGGGAATTGAACCCCTGCTGCTGCACTCTGCCTAAGCAGGTGCTTTAATCTGCTGAGCTATTTGACCGGCCCTTCATTTTAGAAATATAACAAAGTGATTGAAACCACAATTTAAAGTAGAAATACTCACTTAGGGACAGGAAAATATGACAAATAAATGAAAAAGTACAGTCAAAAAATAATTATGCAATACTAATGTAGGAGAAACGTTAGAATTTTTTTTTTGTACAGGTAATTGAACTCAGCATCTTATGCTTTCCAGACAGGCATTTGTGTCACTGAGCTGTATCTCTGGCCCTAAAATTGTAGAAAAGAATCAATGATGTCTCAGAGACAAAAGGAAATAAAATGTATAAACACTGTAATAAATATATAGCAGATATTGAAAAAACTCTATTGGCTAGAGCCAGTTTCTTTCATCTTAACAGTTTCAATGGAGTGATAAGAGTATAAAGTCTGATGTTAATGATAAAGGGAATTAAAGAAAATATTTTAGGTGGTGGATTCAGCTTCCAAATCTCTCACTCTGGAATTTCAGAGGCAAATTACAGTGACAAAAACAAGACAAGACAAAACAAAACATAACATAGCACACACACAAAAAAAGTCTCAGTGTAGAGTTTTGTGGCATTGCAAATTGCAAATGACGATTCAGTGCTTTCTGAAGCAGTCTCCTCCCTCCACTCCATTCACAATATGGTGGTCTACTCCTGGGGCACTGCTTCCTTTTCTTTTTTCATGTTTTTACTCCCTAAGATTGGAATCAAGACAGCTTTTGGCTTATGCCTTCTTACTTAATATCTTTTCTAGCTAGTGGCACACACACACACACACACACACACACACACACACAATATCTTCATTATGAGCATAATACAGAAACACATTAAGCAAATATCACATCAGTGAATTAAAAGTTCATTCTAAAAGGAGGGCTACAAGGAAAGCCAACATTTTGCCTCTAACCTTCTAAGGTCAATTAAGACTCAGGACATATGAGAACTCGTACTGTAACGTCATGTACCTCGGTAGTGTCCCAAATTTTCTGATCAAGAAGATTAGGGGCCAAAGAGGAAAGTGATCGATGACGTAGAGTGTGCCTAAGGAGAGTCACATGGAGAGAAGACACTCTCTCAGGCTTCCACAGAGAGCACATTGGCCAAGCATTGGCCGTGACTCATCCACATGGCTGCACTGACAAAGGTTCTACAATCTGAGGTACAGGATCTCAGAACAAATCCTGAGGGCATTTCACTGACCTTCTCAGACCAAAAAGCTACAACTCTTGTTGCACAGGTCCTGCTTTAGCTTGGTCTAACCATCCAGTAGAAAAGTATGAAGACGAAATATAGGAAATAAAGCCATGCTGTTAAGTTGAGCTGTGGGGGACTCAGGTCAATAATTTCTGACATTGCCAGTTAAACAGAAGACCCAATGCTATTATGGGCTACTGGACTCTTTTAGAATATTTTGCTGAGTTTACACACCTATAATATTCAATAACGGAACTTAAAAATAATGGGGTATAACTATGAATGTCCATTTTGTATCTGTGTATTCAAAGTGGTTGGGATAGATATATAGTTGCATTCTCTTAATGAATAGAATGATTTGTGCTAATGGTGTTTGTAAATAGGATCACAAGTCTGCATCTTGTACAGCAATTAACCACTAAGAAGAATATATGCAGTGTATTATTTGTTGAAACTGTACTTCCGATTTGATTTGAAACTGTCTCATTGCTATCTGTTTACCAATAAAACTTTGAAAAAAAAGTTCATTCTAATATTTCTATTCATAAGCTTTGGAGCTCCTTAATGATTCTGAGAACAAAGATTTTGAAAGTACTGGGATTTCAATGTGTGTTTTTATTGATAAAAATTGAATTGCTATTTAGGTTATTCCAATACTGTCATGTGTGCTATTATATCTTTGATATGAACTGTTTGTTTCTCAATATAACATCAAGTACTATGTTCAACTTGGTCAAAAATTAAAATGGTTTCATATGTCTTATCTAAAGTTTGCATATTCATTTTTTGTATGCCAGGTGGTTGTGAGAACCTTGATAAAAACAACTCTACCTACTTGGAATGTGTTTCTGGTATGCTTCATAATCTGGCTGAGTTTTAGTGTCTTGGGAGTCCAGATTTTTGCTGGCAAATTCTATGCATGCACTGATCAACTAACTGGAGAAATACTTCCTGCATCTGAAGTATGGAATAGAAATCAGTGTGAAAGCCTTGTGTCTAATGAATCCTTATCATGGAAGAATGCACAATTGAACTTCGACAATGTTGGAAATGGTTTCCTTTCTCTGCTTCAAGTAGTAAGTACAGTTTATGACATATTTTTAAAAGTCAATTACACGTTCATTCATACTATATGCTGAACATAAAAGAGAAAGTACAGATGATTCAAACATTGGATTATAACATATTTTAGCAATTATTGATTTGTTGTTAGAATATTACGTTAGGGTTTTTGGGAAGACATAAGTGAAACACAGTCCCTACCCTCTGGAGATAAGGGTGGCAGTAGCACAGGAAACAGTGAGTGCTGGCCAAACCTGCTCTGCAACTACTGGTTAGACAGGCAATAGTGCCGTGATGTATTAATCCAAAGTGGGTTACTATTCTTATTAATTTCATTCTGGGAGAAATGTCCACTTAGTAACCCAATGTCTAAGATATAAGAGATGGACCGTTCCTTTCTCATTGATTCCATAAAAAATTACATATAATGGGTTGCAAATAAATGACACTTGGAAACATATTCATATTTACTTTTTATCCAGTTTCATCTACATTCTCTTTCTATTTAATTACTTTAAAATATTGTGTTATTAGTTATTAATATAATAAATAAAAAAAACAGATAATGTAAATAGGAACATGTTAGATATCTCAATTATTCAGTAGATTTGATTTTATAAGCCTTGCTTTCAAGTGTTTTAAAGTATTAAAAATAAATTAATATTTTGTCACAATAATAAATTTCCACAAAATTAAGTATATCTTATTTTTATAGGCAACATTTAATGGATGGATCGATATTGTATACTCAGCAATTGATTCTGTTGGTGTAAGTACGATGCACTCTAAAAAAATTTAAAAGGACAAGCAAAATTTTTTGCAATTCAAACACAAGACACTTGTAGTATTTACAGAAATTAAATACATTCAGATTGGCTATTTCGTAGGCAATAAAATTTTTGCAGGTATACAACGATTAAGCATAAGTAAAGAATTATCATTTCTGTAACAAGAAGTTAAGCAATGAAATAAATTTTAAAGTAAACCAAGAAATGATATTCATTCACCAAAGAAAAGAAAAATGTTAGTATAAATAGCACCGTTTGATTTTCTTTTTTTTCCATAATTTTATTGATAAACAAATAGCAATGAGACAGTTTCAAATCAAATTGGTAGGACAGCTTCAATAATTAACACATTGCATATGTTCTTCCTAGTGGTTAATTGCTGTACAAGATGCTGACATGATATCCTCTTTACAAACACCATTAGAACAAATCACTCTATTCATTAAGATAGTGTAACTATATATCTATCCCAACCACTTTGAATACACAGATACAAAATGGACATACATCTGTATAACCTTTTTTTGTTAAGTTCCGTTATTTGAATATTATAGGTGTGTAAACTCAGCAAAATATTCTCAAAGAGTCCCGTAACCCATAATAGTATTGGGTCTTCCGCTTGACTGGGAATGTCAGAAATTGTTGACCTGAGTCCCCAACAGTTCAGCATAACAGCATGGCTTTACTTCTTATATTTCATTTTTATACTTTTCTGCTGGATGGTTAAGACCAAGGTAAAGCAGGGTCTATGCAACAAGAGTTGTAGCTTTTGGGTCTGATAAGGTCAGTGAAATTCCCTCAGGATTTATCCTGAGATCCTGTCATTTTCTTTTTAATCTTTCTTTTAAAAAATCATTTACTAGGGGCTGGGGAGATGGCTCAGTAGAATAAGCTCTTTGCTGGCAAGTGCAAGGGCCTGAGTTCGATCCCCGTTGCACCAAAAAAAAAAAAAAAATCATTTACTAGTCTTTTATTAATTAAAGGTTATTAGCTATACAGAAAAATAGATTTGGGGCTGAATGTGGTCCTGCATGCTTGTATACTCAACACTTAGAAGCCTGAGGCAGGAGGATCATTGCAAATTTTAGACCAGCCTGAGCTACAAAGTGAGTTCAAGGACTGCCTGAACTGCATAGTAAGACACTGTCTTGAAAGGACAAAAAAAAAAGAAAAGAAAAGAAAAAAGATTTATGTGGACATACCCATACTTTCATGGCACACACTGATAATCAGATCTACTTGTCATTAAATATTGTATAATATAAATCTTGCATTTTAAAAAGTTGTGATCAATGATTATTTTTAAATTCCATTTTAGGTAGAAATGCAGCCTCATTTTGAAAGCAGCCTCTACATATGTTGTTATTTTATCATCTTTGTTGTCTTTGGAGTATTTGTCCCTCTGAGTATACTGATTGGTGTTATTATTACTAATTTCAACAAGCATAAAATAAAGATAAGTATAAATATCCTTCTTTGTTCATAAATGACTAAAAATATCTGACACATTTATACAAATGCATTGTGCAAAGTAATTGGTTTAGAATTTGCCTCCATGTCGTTTTTCTGTAGTGTATATTGAACACAACAGTTGACGCTGTTCTTTCCCATTGTAGAGTAATGCTGAAGTATTCATTCCCCCACTGCTTTCGATCTCAAAAGTACACAGTTTACTTTGAATGTTAAAACATACCTGTGTTTCTGTGTATATATTTAATAAATAACATTATAATAAAAAGATGAGTGATGACATTGCATATCTGTGCAAATATGTGAAGATGAAGAAAGATAAGAGTCTTTTACTCTGATACATGGGAAGCCTTCAGAATTACAACTAGCACAACATATTTCTACATTAGAGTAGCTCTTTCTGCTTAAAGTCAAGTCATAGATCCTAGCTGAATGACCATATAGGAATGCTTAAAATTCCATTATTATGGAATTCAGAGACACTTAGCCACCATTTGGTTCCATTTCTGTGTATTCGGTGCCAGTTGTACACATGTTGACTCCTTGGGTTTCCACAAATGCAAAGAGAGGGAGGTCTAAGCATAACTTCCAAGAACTCAAACCAAATGATAATTGTGAAATTCTTCCTGAACTATGTTATTAAATGTTACCCACATGAAAAAGTACAGTATAATACAGTGATCTGCTAGTCAAGTGGGAGGAAGCAGAGTGAGGAGACACGGCTTCTATCAAAGATTTCAGCTCCTGAGCAGGTCACCCCGAGTGCAGTGACATCCTAGGCCTGCATCTGTGCTTCACACTGGTGATCTCTATCTATTTGAAGTGAATGGATTCTAATTTAGGCATCAAGAATTCCCAATTCCTAGCATAACATATCACAATTATATTATATATTTCACCCTAAAATCAGCACTAGAAACACAAAATATAAGGCACCCTAGAAAGTGTAATTTGAAGGTACTTTTGAAATAATAAAAAAATCTTCTTATAGTAGTTAGCCAATAATGCAATATATGAATATATATGAAATATATACTTTGCTGAAAGGTATTGGACATTACTGTAATCCCAAGAATTTAGGAGGTAGAAGTAAGAGGATTGAAAGCTTGATCCCAGCCTAATCATCGAATTTTGCAAGACCCTGTCTTGAAATGTATTATTGTAAAGGACTAGAACTACAGATAGGTCAAAGGCATTGGTTTAATCCCTAGTACTGCAAGAACACACAAAAATTGAACAGTTCTATATGTTTCTGATTATTAAAAGGCAAAAATTTACCCTTGTCTTTTGAGTTCAATTCTTCTCAGTTAACTTTTTAAGATAAACCCCATTGTTTGTTTTTCTAAGAAAATGAAGGTTTCAGTAGACTAAATAGTATAATTAGGGTTGACTGCATACAGGAAAGTATACCAAAAGATGATTGGACTGTGCTCTGCTCAGCTAGTATTCCATGTTTACTTCCAATGAGCTTTGTGCAGGGTGTCAATCATAGTTAAATATTTGAATCATTGCAGTTAAAACTTCTGAAACAAATTATATTAATAACTACCAACTTTTAAATATAATGTACATTATATTAATGTCTATTAATATAGAGAAAAAATGAATTAAATGAGATTTTCATGTCTTTTTGTCTCCTTCTTTACCAGGGAGGCTCCAATATCTTTATAACTGCAAAGCAAAAGAAGCAATATCGTGAGCTAAAGAGGTTGATGCATGATGACGCCCAAAAACCACTACCGCATCCAGGAGTAAGAAAATGTCTAGATGTTTTTGAAGTTTCAATAAGTTCCTTTCTTTATTTTACAAATAGAAACACATTTTAAAGTTTCAAGTGCTTTTGCCATTTAAAAATATGTTAATTGACAAAGATTGAATGGTCATTTCTTGCTTATGTGTTGTCTCATGCTTCAATTATTAACATACTTGAATTATACAAATTGATATGATTCAAGGTAAGAACTCCACACGTTCGTATCTTGTGTGTTGGTGGCGCTCATCTAATCTTGTTTTGAGGATATGCTGTATGTTTATTTTGGTGCAAACTTGGACCTTCACTGATGTTTTCTGTGGGGAAGTTACAGACTCTTGACAACTGCATGTACTATTGTACACCTTATCAGTAATACTTCTGCATGTGTTTTCTTTACCTACAGAACAAGTTCCAAGGCTGCATTTTTGACTTGGTAACAAGTCATGTTTTCAATGTCATCATCATGGTTCTTATCTGTGCCCAAGCAGTGACCATGATGATAGAAAGAGATGAACAGAGTCCACAAATGGACACTGCACTCCACTGGATAAACTCGACCTTCGTCATCCTGTACACTGTGGAGTTGATGCTGAAGCTCATCGCCTTCCACTGCTACTACTTCACAGTTGCATGGAATATTTTGGATTTTATGGTGGTCATTTTCTCCATTACAGGTAATATGTTGTTCAATGAAATTTTCCCTTATAGTAATATTAATTCATACAAAATTATCAACATCACTTCAGACATAGTTTCTTAGAAAAAAAAACAGGATAGAGACTTTTTTTATTCCAGTCAGGAATGTTTCATATTTTTTGATTCACATATGTGCATATAGATAGAAAATGTTAAAAAATATATTTCTTGAATGAATAGTATATACTTTATGTCACAAATTACAAGATAAATGCTTTATTACCATTCAGTAGTGTAGTATAAAGTCATATAATGCATATTAATTTCTAAGATAATAATAGAAAGATCTTTATGCCTTTAATAATATAACCTTTCAAACTCACTATCCCTCCCCTGTAATTGTTGAAAGCTATAGAAAAAAAGCTGTTTTAGGCTTTAATAAATTTACTCCTACTTTCCTCTTACTCAGGTGATATCATCCTTTCATTGAGCAAATATATAGAGTGGTTTTCTTTGAGAATAGGTATTGTGCTATTTGTAAGGAATGAAGTAGTTAGTTGGTTGTGGTAGTACATGTCACTACTCCAATCATTCTAGGAGGCCTACACAGGAGGATCACAAGTTCAAACCAAACTTGTGAAACTTAAAAAGACTCTATTTCAAAGGAAAACAAAGTTAAAAGACAGGATTTATTTGAATACAGAGGCTCTGGTTTCAATCTGAAGCATGCTCCCTCATCAAAGCCCCCCCCAAAAAATAACAGTAGTAAACACAATAAGGATAATTCCAGGGTACATATAGTTCAAGTCTAGTAAAGGAGGATAAACAATTTAAAAGCATACTTTAATGCTATGATGTTAAAGCTAGGCTAATGAAGCAAAGGGTGCTATGGCAGCCTAACAGAAGGAGGAGCATCTGCTCAGCAAGTAGAGGTCAGAGAACATTTGGTATAAGAAGCAAAATTTAGGACTTGAGAGACAGCTTAGTGGTCTAAGCACCTACCTGGCAAGCACAAGGACCACAGTTTGATCCTTGGTACCACATGCAGTACCTGCTTGAGAACCCCAGGCACACTGTGCAGGCCCCAAAATGGGGCATAATGGTGCATGCCTATAATCTCAGTACTGGGGAGGCTGAGACAGGAGACTCACTAGGAGTCTGAGAAGCATAGTAAGACCCTGTATCAAACAAACAAACAAACAAACAAATAGCAAAATTTAAACAAAGACCCATAGGATAAGGATGTAGCTAAGCAAGGAATATAGGATCAAAGTTTTTCTGCCAGAAAAGTTTCTTTTACTGTCTATTTCCCGTAACATATCTAGATAGATGCAAGCTTCATAGTCAGAGAGATAATATTTTAGAAATTATTGTCGGGAACTATAAGGTAGATTAACTGTCTAGTTTATCCTCCGGAAGATTCACTCATTCAGTGGACAAATGAAATGGTACAACTAACTATGAAGGTTTATAATGAAAAGCATAACAGGAATGAACTGAGAGGAAGAAAACAGGAATTTCACTCTAAAAAACCTTGAGATTGAAGTAACAATTCCTTTTGCACAGGGATTTTAAGGAGAAAAATACAGACTGAAATGTTTGAATTCAAGATTTTATAGATCGAGTATCTTGTGTCCATATGATCACGTGTGTATATAGATGATGTGAATCAGTGAAGATTATGAAGGTTGCAAAGGTCAGGAAAGAGACCTTTAGTGGTGTCACTGTTAGAAACTTTAATTTTCGTTGCTTAAAGTGATTCAAATATAAAACATCTGCAAATCTCACTGGGAAATAGGAAACTTACTCATCTTTTTTTTGTGAGAAATATGGAGTTGAGGGGAATATAAGCACGTGCATCTGAAACTGTCTCATAGGAAATGTCATCAAAATAGAGTCTGCTTCAGATGAGAAAGAGAGTTTAAAAGTCTGGTAGTGAGGGAGTTGAGGAATTTTTTTACAGTTAGGTGAGAATACCTCCTGCAAACCTGAGGAGTTTTGAAGACTGAAATTAAATGAGAATTTGATTCAGCATTGAACATTCATTAGAACGTTCTAGAGATAAGGTATAAAAGACCACCACCAAAGTTGTCCTCTTAGGCAATGACCAAGTTTGACAGAAACTTGTAACAAGACACTTCCTATCAGCAGACATTCCATCCCCTTAGAAGTTCTGTAGGACTTTCCCATTTTCCATTTTCTCAACCTAAAGTGAACCATTCCTAGTTTCTAAGGAAAAAATTTCAATTACCAACCTCATATTTAAAGTTCTTGGAAAAAATACCATTTAGGAGATAGATGAATTAAACTACAAACTGTGAGTCACTGAATGCCAAACATTTTTGTAATCAACTTTAATAATTTGGCCTTTCTTTCTTGCATTATAATTATTTTAGATAACCATCACTAGTTACTAGACTAGAAAGTCTTTGAGGCTAGGAATTATTGTACTTGATCTTTGCATACTTATTTCATGATGCATTTATAAAGCATTCAATATATGTTGGATTGAATTCTTCGATTCAATAGCAATCAGAAAGAAAAAAACCTTTCTGACTACTATATTGTAGATTCAAGACAACTATAATTCCAAAAGTACATGATCCATAATATTCCCAAAATTACAGTACAGAAGAAATCCCTTCTAAATTTTGCTGGATACCATCATCATTGACACAATTAGTATTTGACTAACTTACTCATCCTAACAAATGTTAAATAGGGATTAATAAAAAATACAGAAACAACCACTTATGTATAAAATGACATGTTCCTGTACACACTATTGCATATGAATAATTTTATTGACTCTTTCTTCCTTGCTCAGCACTATTTCTGCCTATGACAGTAGGGTACTACTTGGTGGCCCCTTCACTTGTGCAGCTGATACTTCTCTGTCGCATCGTCCACGTCCTGCGTCTTGGGAAAGGACCAAAGGTATTCCATGATCTGATGCTCCCTTTGGTGCTGTCCCTCCCAGCCCTGTTGAACATCTGTCTTCTTATCTTCCTGGTCATGTTCATCTATGCCATTTTTGGAATGTACAACTTTGCCTATGTTAAAAAAGAAGCTGGAATTAACGACGTGTCCAACTTTGAAACCTTTGGCAGTAGTATGATTTGTCTTTTTCAAGTTACAATATTTGCAGGTTGGGATGGGTTGCTTAAAGCAATTTTCAACAGTAAATGGTCTGATTGTGATCCTGAAAAAATTAACCCTGGGACTCAGGTTAAAGGAGATTGTGGTAACCCTTCTCTTGGGATTTTCTATTTTGTCAGTTATATTTTCATAATATGGTTGATCATTGTTAATATGTATATTGTTGTGATCATGGAATTTTTAAATATTGTTTCTAAGCAAAAAACTAGGAGCTTGAGTGATGTTGATTTCAGGAAGTTCTTTCAAGTGTGGGAGAGGTTTGATCCCGATAGGACCCAGTATATAGACTCCAGCAAGCTTTCCGACTTTGCAGCTGCTCTCGATCCTCCTCTTTTTATGGCAAAACCAAACAAGGGACAGCTTGTAGCCATGGACCTTCCCATGGCTGTTGGAGACAGAATTCATTGCCTCGATATCTTGCTTGCTTTTACAAAACGGGTTGTGGGAAAAGATACAGGGATGGAGAAAATCCTTTCAGAGGTAGAATCAGCATTTTCACTATCCAACCCTTTTAAAATCACATATGAACCAATTACAACTACTTTGAAACGAAAACAAGAGACAGTTTCAGCAACCATCATTCAGCGTGCTTATAAAAATTATCGCTTGAGGCAAAATGACAAAAATACATCAGATATTTCTATGATAGATGATGACCAAGTTGTTCAAAACACTAAAGGTGTCTGTCCTGACAAAGCTAAGAAGTCAGCTTTTCAAAGCCAGATCTAATCACACTAGGCACCTTTCTGTTTTCTTCATGGATCCCAGGGTTTAAAAGCTTAAGTAACAAAACAACGATGGAAGAAGAGTACAGATCTCCATGCCAAACTCACGTTTTTCACCTATTATGTTCAGCCCAATCAACTATTGGGAATTACAATGTATTAATTTTGCTACAGGTAGTAAAATTTACCTCTTGGAAAATTAACCAGTAGGTTGAATTTGCCACTTGGAAACCCAATACTTGTTTTTCTATCTGGCTTATTTGATGTATGCCTATTTGGGAGGATAAGGGGAAAGTGTAGTAAAGATAAACCTCTTGCTCCTCCTCCTCCTCCTCTTTTTCCATCAGTTTATGCTCCTCTTTTTTTTTTCTTGATGGTAGAAATCAATATTTTATTATCCAGAGGCTCCTAGATTTTCATCTCTTTGGTTAATTCTACATATGCTCCAAATCTACAGTTTGAAGGTTGTGGATTTATACAATGATAAGCATAAACAAAAACACAAGCTATGGCCTACATTTTCCTTATTTTATTCTCATTTACACTCTTTAAAAATGTATGTATTTACCAAAATTACATACTAATAATACATTAGTAGACTTGATTCTTTCCTTATTATAAGACTGATGTATTTTACCACTTATTTATAATAGAGTATTGATTATATAAGATCTGACAAGTGCATGTCATAATGAATTAGCAGAATTGGGAGCTTCCAGTATGTCTAAAGATTTTCAGGTATCTTGACTTTCAACTGGGAACTAGTAGCCACTTCAAAGTACCTTTCATTATACTATATGCTTCTTATAACTTGTAGAAAAAAGATCATTCAAAATACAAACACTGAATTAAGACATAAAGTGTAACTTCTTGTTTTAGAACACCAGTATATGTTAATTAGTTTTTACTTATTCATTTACCTTTCTTGACTTTTTTATTATATCTCATCATATATAAGTATTATGTAAAATATTTTATATTTGAGAAACTTTAAAACCCTAAACCTTAGATTTTACTATGAAACTGTTTTTTAGGTTAACTGCAAGTAATTGTTTTTTGATTTATTGACAAAAGTATTATCACTTATATCTATGGAGTTTGAGAATCTAATACTTATTCCATTTGTATGAAAATTGATTTCAATGTACCTACAAAGTCCTAAAGATTAAAAATTAAATGTATACTGCTGATTTAAATGACAAGTTTTGAATGCATTATATGACATTCAACATCACTTATGTATTGGTAAATGTTTCTTGCTATGAATGCATGATCTTGAGCCTTAAGTATTACAATCTATTTTTGAACTTCAGATATACAATAGCCTTACCAAGATGCCTTTGGGGAATCCCCTAAATAAATTTAATTTCGGAGTTCTAGGGTTTTTTTTTTTTCTCTTAAGTGTTTCTTCCTTTATCTTCTTATTCTCCTTTATGCAATGAAGAAAGGCTTCAGTGTTAATTTGGTGATGTGACAGCTGGTGCTTTACCTAGCCATTCCATTTTTGTATTTTTGGGAATGGTTTAGTATGGCAATTGCTTCAGGTACTGATTTTAAATGATAACATGCTTCTATAAGTCCCATAAAGACCACATTTCAATTTTTGTTTGAAAACTATTGTTTTACTTATAAAATGTATCTGCCAGTAACTTTCCAAGAACTGTATAAAATTTATTTTTAACAAAACAATATGATATATTCTACTTTTTAGATACTATGGAAAATAATAAATACAGACTGTTAACCATACTAAGATGTGATTGTTTTTATTTTATACTTTAGTTATTCAGGTTGGCAACTTTCTATAGCAGAAGAAAAATAAACTTTGTACACTATTAATTCAAACTCAAATCTTTAAACACAGACACCTGTTAAATCATTTAACTTTATGTAAAGTAAATATTATTAAGATCATTGGGAGCTCCCATATATTGACAAAATGCAAAAGCCACGTTTTAAAACTATAATTACAGTTTTAATACATGTCATTCAGTATTATTAAAATTTTCCTTAAGAAGATAATGTTGAATTCAATTTCTTAGTATGCTATACTTTATCAGTTTCTGCATCAAAGTATTAATTCTCATTTGTTAATATATATATTTGAGATGGTTTTAAAGATAATATTAATATTCATAAAGATAGTCTTAAGAGTTATCTTTTCTTGAAGTGGCTTAATACCTTGCCTTTTTTGTCGCAACAAAACTGTTTTTATCTCTACTTTTGCAAAGTGAGTAACACGTGACACAAGGTTGCCTAGTGGCTAAAAGCTGACCTCAACCAGACAGGACATTTATCTCAGGACTGAGGTATCTTGTTTGATTTAGGCACTGGAGCCTAGTCCCACCTACACGTATTAGATCAATTTCCTATTTTCAGTAGGAAAAACATAGCCAACATTTTTTTTTTGTTTTATTTTTTCAGAGATGGATGTTTCATTGTAGTTAGAGATGCTGTATTTGGAGAAGTCTCCAAAGGACCTTTTCATACTTGATGCCAGTGAAAGATTGTAGCTACTTGAATTCAGCAAAATAACCACATATAGTCCAATAGCCCATAATAGTAGTGAGCTATCAGCACAACTAGCAATTGTTGGAAGTTGTTGACTTGAACATTTCACAGCTCAGCATGTTAATATAGGTGTATTTTTATACCTTGTGGTTATACTTTTCTGCTGGATGGTGTAGACCAGGCTTTTTTTTTTTTTAAAAAAAGGCTGAGTTAAAGAAAGACCTATATAACTAAAAATGTAACTTCTTCTGTCTGACAAGGTTAGTCAAATCCCCTCAGGGTTTACTCTGAAACCATGTACAACATCCTTTTTCTCTCTAGGTGACTCTCTTTCGGCACACTATACATCATCAATCACTTTCCTCTGTGGCCCCATAATCTCCTTGATGATAAAATTTGGGACACCACTTAGTTACAGGATGGCACAGCAGAGGTTCTCTTATGTCTTAAGTATACAGAAGATAGTTAAGATACATATACAGTTACTTTCTCTTAGTTCATTAGGAAGAAAGGTTTGTACTAATATTGTTTAGACAAGATACCATGTCTGTATCTTGTCCTCTGAATAACTATTATGAAGACAACAATATGCAATGCATTATTATACTATCCTACCAACCTGTCTTGAAACTGTTTCATTGCTCTTTTATCTTTTTTCTCATTAAAATAAATAAAAAATACCTTGCCTTGTACTAATCAACATGCATAAAACAGTAATACCTCTTAAATAATGAATCAGTAAACAATAAGCTTAAAAAGGTTGTAAGAGATTTTATATGGCACCAAATTTGTGATAAGGTCAGGATGCCAACCACGTATAGTTCTTTGGTTTTATTGCTCGCTCCCTCTCCCTCTTCCTCTCACTGCTCCTCCCCAACACCCAGCCACACACCCACACACACACCTTCTTTTTTCCATGCTTACCCTTGTACTGCAGGGAATTTAGAAGTAGAGGTCCTTC